AATTCAGATCACATGATAAAGTCAGAAACAGCTCATTAAGAGGCAGAGACTTGCTAAGGAATCCTTAAGTTTTTAAGGAGCATTCAAATGTTTTAAATTTTAGTAAAATCAGTTTTAATTTTGCTAATGACAGCAGATGTGTGGCAAACAGCCAGGGCTTGAGCTTAAAACAAATTTCTAGAGATATTCATGGATAGAATGTCTGGTTACTTATTGAAATCATAAAGATTCTACTCCAGTGATCCAGTGTAAGTTTATTAAGATGGCGGTGTGCAAAAAAAGTATTCATACATGTGTTTGAGCCATTTACTAGCATTTCTTGTTTGTGATTCTTTTTTGCTGCACTGGGTGGCTTGTGGGATCTCAGTTACCCAACCGGGGATTGAACCTGGGCCATGTCAGTGGAAGCCCAGAATCCTAACCACTAGGCTACCAGGAACCTCCCTGTGATTCGTAACACTATATAATTAGTAATGTCTAGACAGTTTGTGGTGAGAAGAATATCCAGAAGTATCAGTTTTAGGGCTTCCCTGGTGGCGCAGTGGTTGAGAGTCCGCCTGCCGATGCTGGGGACGTGGGTTCGTGCCCTGGTCCGGGAAGATCCCACATGCCATGGAGTGGCTGGGCCCGTGAGCCATGGCCACTGAGCCTGCGCGTCCGGAGTCTGTGCTCTGCAGCGGGAGAGGCCACAACAGTGGGAGGCCCGTGTACCGCAAAAAAAAAAAAAAAAAAAGTATCAATTTTAGAGCAACTTATTTTATGTGATTTGTTTGAATGACTTTGATCATTGTAGAAAGGAGGGTTGTCTGTGAAACTTTAGACAGTAGATTTCAGTTGTTCAGACACTAGGTGAGTGTTGAAAGCTTATTTTTCTACCACTCTGTCCCTTCACTTTTGTCTGCCCAGGGCTCTATTCCCCAAAACAAAATTTTTAAGTAATATATAGATTCTATAAAGATGCTTTAGAATTAGTTTGCTGTATAGGTAGACAAAAATAAAATATCAGTTATTTAACTGATCAGTGTCAAATGTTATAAGCTATAGTTATTAATTAATTAAATAGAAGTGTTTTTAAGCCTTTTTTTTTTTTTTTTACTAATATGCCATCATAACCTACTTAGGATCTGATGAATAGTTAAAATAAAGCCTTTTGGGATTTTCTGCACATTTTGGTTATCAAAACATACCATGTAGGAAGCAACCTAAGTGTCCATCGACAAGATGAATGGATAAAGAAGATGTGGCACATATATACGATGGAATATTACTCAGCCATGAAAAGAAATGAAATTGAGTTATTTGTAGTGAGGTGGATGGACCTAGAGTCTGTCATACAGAGTGAAGTAAGTCAGAAAGAGAAAAACAAATACCGTATGTTAGCACACATATGGAATCTGAAAAAAAAAATGGTTCTGATGAACGTAGGGGCAGGACAGGAATAGAGACACAGACAGGGGCAGGACAGAATAGAGACACAGACGTAGAGAATGGACTTGAGGAGAACTCATATTTTGAAACACAAACTGGCAGAAATAAAAGCAGAACAAGGAAATCTGGGAAAGAGCCAACTATAGAGCTTACAAATAAAAGTGTAATCACTAAAGTAAGTATTTAATAGATTAAATAGCCATAGTCAAGTAGAGAATTAGTAAATTGAAATTCACCCTGAATGAGCATAGGAAAGCAAAAAGATTTTCCAAGAAAATGAAAAAGCTTTAAAAAGGCATGAAGCTCTAGCCTATATTTAATAGGCATTTCAGAGAGAGAGAGAGAGAATAGAGAAACGGTGTAGAAATTATATATAAAGAGATAATGGATGAGAATTTTTCAGAATTTGAGAAAAACAAGGATCTTCAGATCAAAAATACTCTTTTAGTACTAAACAGGGTAAATGAAAAGAAACCCATAGATTTCAAAACTGAAACAAGAAACAACCCAACTTAAAAGTTGCCAAAGAGAAAGTCAGCCTGCTATCAGTACAATTGTTGCTCTCTTGAAGTAGACTTTTTATCTGCAACAATATGCAGAAAATAAGGGAGGAGTGATTTGGAGTAGTAGCCATGAAAGGGTAAGAGGAAAAATAAATGTTACCCTAGAATTTTATACTTGTCTAAATAATCATTCTAGAGGGAAGGCAAAATAAAAACATTTCACATATATAAAGATGACTATCCTAACCTACCTGCATTAAAAAAAAACTATTCAAGTATGTATTTCCATAAGATGCAGAGTAAACTCAGGGAAAGAAGCGTTGGGATATAAAAGGGACAGTGAAAAGCAAGAAGTGGATAAAATGTGTTGGAAAGTTAATTTGATAGTAAAAATCATAAACATTTTATATTAAATGCTACAATTTTAGTCAAGAGTAATAAGATAGAAGAAGTTTTCAGTGGTTAAAGGTTTTTTTCTTGTTCAGAGGAAGGTAGAGATGGGGAATAACAGATGGTTAGAAAGATTTATAGGAAAGTATGTATGTTAAATTTCTAAATGGAATCATGAAAACAGTAGAACTATAACCTTATAAATTTGAAACCAGCATGGGCATGGGGTGAGAGGAGGATATAGAAAACTTTATAAATCTAACAGATGGCAAGAAAGGCAGAAGAAAAATAAAAGCAAAGGAAAAAAAGGATGGTAAACCGAAGTCAGACAATAAGGTGGCTGAAGTCTAAATCAGATAACCAAGTAGTCAGTCAGCTTTCATGGTGTTGCCTATCATTTATATATACTCATATTCTAAATATGTAGAAATGGTTCATTTCCATTTATTTCATCATTTCCACCTCTATATAAAATAAAATCAATATTTCCTTGATTCCATTCTCTTTTCCAGCTCTTACTGAAAGTCCAGATATTGCTTTCACTTCCTCATCTCCCATTCTCACCTCAACCTGTTGCTCCATCTCTACTCTTCCTGCTGAAACTGCTGTTGTCAGAAGGTTGCCAGTGATCTTCATGTTGCTGATCCAGTTTTCACTTCTATCCTCTTTTCCGAAAAATACACAAATATCTACTTATAAATCAATTATTATTTTAAACATAGAGGTAATGTAGGAAAGTGGTTAAGAGAGGAGACTAATCGAAATGACTTGGGTTTCAATCCTGACTGTGCTTCCATGTTTAAAATACTAGCTGTGTGACTTTGAGGGAAGTTCCAAAATTTCCTGAATAAGATGAAGATAATAATAGTACTTACCTCAGAGCAGTTTTGTGAGGATTAAATGAAATAATGCGTGTAAAACACATAGTGTACTGTATGTGGCACATGGTAAATACTTAGTAAATGTTAGCTATTGTTAATAAGCTCCAAAATGTTATATTATTGAATGAAGATATGATAAGAGAAAAGGTTTTAAGGGTGAGATTTTTATTACAAAATATTTGATACATATAAAAGAATACATGCTATGTATATGTAAGTTAGAAAGCATAATAAAATCAACGCCTGGGAATTTACCACCTAACCTGAGAACCTTGCATTCTTTTTTTTAAAACCTTTTAATTTTATTTATTTATTTATTGTTTATTTGCAAGCTGCATGCGGGCTTCCTCTAGTTGTGGGGAGCGGGGGCTACTCTTCATTGCGGTATGCGGGCTTCTCATTGTGGTGACTTCTCTTGTTGCAGACCACGGGCTCTAGGCACGCCGGCTTCAGTAGTTGTGGCACACGGGCTCAGTAATTGTGGCTTGTGGGGTCTAGAGCGCAGGCTCAGTAGTTGTGGGCCACGGGTTTAGTTGCTCCGCAGCATGTGGGATCTTCCCGGACCAGGGCTCGAACCCGTGTCCCCTGCATTGGCAGGTGGATTCTTTTTTTTCTTTTTTTTTTTTTTTCGGTACGCGGGCCTCTCACTGTTGTGGCCTCTCCCGTTGCGGAGCACAGGCTCCGGACGCACAGGCTCAGCGGCCATGGCTCCCGGGCCCAGCCGCTCCGCGGCATGTGGGATCTTCCCGGACCGGGGCACGAACCCGTGTCCCCTGCATCGGCAGGCGGACTCTCAACCACTGCGCCACCAGGGAAGCCCGAGGCTATCGTCTCTTCATATGTTTATTGGTTATTTGTATTTCCTTTCCTGTGCAAGTTTGTTCTTGTCTTCTGCCCTTATTTTTTCTAATGGGTTGTCTTTTTGTTAATAGATCTGGAGGAATTCTTAAATATTCTTGATAGTTATCCTTTGTTGATTATATTTGCTGGATATATCTTCTCCTATTTAAGTCATTAATTTACCTGGAATTGGTTGTTTATGGTGTGAGGTAGATTCCAGTTTTCTTTCATTAAATTTTTTGGAGGGGAGGGAGTTGTACAGTTGTTCCAATAACCACTTAATCGTCATCCTTTCTTCATTGAATAGTATCTATAGAACAGTTTTGGGTGGAAGAGTCGACAGCATGTGCCCTTGTTTTAAAGTGATGCATCTAAATTTTCACCATTGAATGCAATGTTTGTTATAGGTTTGCTTTACCCTTTAAGGAAATTCCTTTTTGTCGTAATTTTCTTAAAAAGGTTTGAAACTTGCATGGGTGCTGAATTTTATTAAATGCTCTTTGTTTAGCTCCTGAAATGATTCTATAGTTTTTCTCCTTCAATCTGTTAATGAGGGGAATTAATAGCTTTTCTAATGTTTAACTACTGTTTCATTCCTAGGATAAATCCAACTTGGTCTGTGATAATATTATCTTTTTTTTTTTTTTTTTTTGCCGTACACGGGCCTCTCACTGTTGTGGCCCCTCCCCTTGCGGAGCACAGGCTCCGGACACGCCGGCTCAGCGGCCATGACTCATGGGCCTAGCCGCTCCGCGGCATGTGGGATCTTCCCGGACCAGGGCACGAACCCGTGTCCCCTGCATCGGCAGGCGGACTCTCAACCACTGCGCCACCAGGGAAGCCCATGTGATAATATTATCTTTTTTATACATTGCCAGATTGTCAGCTAATATTAATTAAGTTTATAGGTTTGTATGAAAACAACTGCTTAATATCTTTTTAAAAATGAACTTTACAGCGGAGAATATTGGTGCAGAACTGAAAGCTCCACTTATTAAGCAAGAACCTCTCCAAGTAAGAGGTAAATATATTTTATTCTATTTTTTATTATAATGGTGTTTTGAATTAAATATATAAAGTTAGTTGATATAGAGCTCTTTATAGTTATAAGGGTATGTTCATTTTTCTTTAAATATATTGACCATAAGGATTTATTCTATTTATAAACTAATTTTCTACTGAAGTTTACTTTGCATTTTAGTCATAAATTTTACGCAAGTTCTTTTTTCAAAAGCCCAAAGAAAAGAGTAATGGCAAATAAAAATCATCAATTGCTTTATCATTTTTAGAAAAGTAATGTGATTAATAAAGAACAAGAGGCCAACACCTACAGCTTGTTCAAATCCAGGTAGAGTTTGGACATTCTTGTCTGATTTCCTTTTCTGGGAGTGACTGAGTGATGAAGGAATTCTTGTTTGCAGCTCTCTTCTTTATAACGCGCTATGGCTTCCATCTCCAAAGTAGCATGTTTCATGGAGATACTAATTCTGTGATTAGGAGCACCATGGCTTTGGCGTCAGAGAAAAGTGGATTCAATTTGTAACTTTAGGACATACTAGCTGTATGGCTTTGGGCAGTTTACTTTATTTCTCTGAGCCTTAGTTTCCTCCCTATAAGATTGTGCTAAAAATGGGACTTCTTTTCTAGAATAACTTTGGAGATGATAGTGTACAGTCACAGTTAAGACTACTTAATGTTGTCTTATCATCAGTAATCTGGGCTAGGACAGGCCAACAGGGATTTCTAGCTACTTTGAAGGAATTATTAAAAAGTAATGTAAAAAAAAACCTAATCTTTTTGAAGAGCAATGTAATTCTCCTCTCTGATCCAGAGAAGTTTATTTGGATTTAGAATTTTAGGATTTTTAGAGTAAGGTGGTTTAGAGAAACTCATGCAAAAAGAAACCTGAACTTCTTTATATACTTTTTTTCAAATAAGGTTTTGGTTTTTATATTGAACTTTATTTTTGAAATGTTCTTGTTAACTATTATTTGTGCATTTGATTTTAATAGTTCGTGTGTTATTTTAAGATTCTTTTTACCTACTGTAGTGATGGATAATTTTAGTCTTAATTTATTCTTTCAACTTGTAAGTACAATAGAAAACTCAATAGTTACTAGACATTAGAATAGAATATGAAGTGGCTAGGTAACAATTTTCAGAGATTTGCTTATGTTATTTGTGTTTTGTGGCCAAAAGTCTCACTATAAAAATGAACAGACCAATGTTGACTGTAATTTTTAATTCATAGACTATAATTGATGCCAAATTGGTATTTTATTTTATTATTGGTGTCTCTGGCTTTTTTATGAACAGGTTGATACTTGATAATAGGAAAAATTTAGAAGGCAGTATTTCACCTATAGTCTATAATTAACTTCCTATAATTTTTAACTGATAAAAATGTTCCTTATAGTTACTTCATCTTCGTTACATTATGTGAAATTGCCCAATGACTTTCAGACTTTTTTGACTGCAAACCACTTAAGAAATACTAATGATCTAGTATATATATAGATTACTATATGTAACTGAAACAAAAGTTTTCACAAAAAGTGCTTGTTCTTCATTATGTGCAGTACTCTTTGATTACTTTCTATTTTCATTTTTTATAAAATGCTGGTTTCACCAGTGTTTGTAAAACACCGAACCAGCGTCTAATTTTTTATTGAAACTTCAGTTCATTTTCATTTAGACCCTAAGCAATTTAAATTGTACTAGTACGATTTAAACAGACCAGTAATACCTATATAAGGTATCCTTTAGACAAAGGGTTGACATTTTGTCATCAGTTAGTGATGAACTGTGGAGATAAAGCTGGGTGGTTACAAGTGTAATTCTGTCCTATTCTGTACTTGGAGTAAACTTTTTTTCTGACGCCATTCAGTGCATCAGGAAAAACAGTTTTCTATGGAATTCATTAGTGAATCCACTTAAAACTCAGCATATGTTAATCTTCAAATGTGACTTCCAATGTACATATTTAGTATGTTTTCCTATATTTTTGGTTTTAGTCAAAGCAGTCCTTAAAAAGAGGGAATATGGACCAAAGTACACTCAGAATAATTTCATCACTGGAGTCAGAGCAATGAATGAGTTCTGCCTCAAATCCAGGTACAGTAATTTTTTAAAAATGGGGTAGTTTGCTCTATCTAAATCTAAATAACCAGTTATTTCCTAGAATTTGTTAACCCGCTAACATCCATGTGGAAACTTTACCATGGCTCCTTCCTAAATTGAAGAAGTATTTTTATTCAGTTAAAAAAATGTTACAATTTTGGGGCTTCCCTGGTGGCGCAGTGGTTGAGAGTCCGCCTGCCGATGCAGGGGACGTGGGTTCGTGCCCTGGTCTGGGAAGATCCCACATGCTGCGGAGCGGCTGGGCCCGTGAGCCATGGCCGAAGGGCCTGTGCGTCTGGAGCCTGTGCTCCGCAATGGGAGAGGCCAAAACAGTGAGAGGACCGCGTACCGGAAAAAAAAAAAAAAAAAAAAAGTTACAATTTTTAGCTTACTAAACTGAAGGCTGCTCCAGCACGAGCAGTTCCAGTGTTTCTTGGTTCCTTTAACTCAAAAAGGTAGGTTCTTCAATATCTTTGTGTCACACAAGAACCTTAGGAGTTTATTGTTATGTTAATATGTAGTAAAGTTATCAATAAGATTATTTGCATATTTGTATAACTTTAAAATTTTGGTTTTTTTGGTAAAGCAGTTTTATTATGTTTATGTTCACACTCCAGCTGTGATTCACGTTGAGTATAAATTATTTTCCTTCTGTCTGGTATCTTGTTATTAATTTTCTTGTAATTAAAGAGATTTAGTGAGGTATTTTCCACAAATTTAAACTTTTCCCCCTCTTTTGTGTGTTTACCTAGAAAAACCATATTTATGTGCAAGATATCTTGGTAATTTCGACATCAGATGATCTAGCCTCCCCCACCCTACCCCACCCCCAGCCCATGGTCATATGATCTATGGTATAATATCAAGAAATAAGGATTCCTGTAATCAGTTTTATAACTTCCATAACTATTGAAACAACAACCAATTATAATAATGATATAAAACTATATTCTGTTTCACATACAACAATTTTGTGAGTTAAGTAGGTTAAGTATTGCTATCTCCACATTATAGGCCAGGGAACATAATAAAGAGTGATGATGTAGCTTATTTAGTGAGTCAGTGACAGAGAGGGAACCAGAATATATATCTTTTGTTACTTGGTCCAGACTTTTTTTTTTTTTTTTTTGCGGTACGTGGGCCTCTTGTGGCCTCTCCCGTTGCGGAGCACAGGCTCCGGACGCGCAGGCTCAGCGGCCATGGCTCACGGGCCCAGCCGCTCCGCAGCATGTGGGATCTTCCCGGACCGGGGCACGAACCCGTGTCCCCTGCATCGGCAGGCGGACTCTCAACCACTGTGCCACCAGGGAAGCCCCAGACTTTTTTTTGATGTGTGATAGTTGATTGTTAAACTTACTTTATTTTATTTTTACTTTTTATTTATTTTTTGACTGCGCCACGCAGCTTGCAGGATCTTATCCCTGACCAGGGATTGAACCCAGGCCACGGCAGTGAGAATCTGGAATCCTAACTATTAGGCCACCAGGATACGCCCCAGATTTTTATTTATAGGTCTTTTTGTTGCTATTACAAACTTTCCTTAGGAAGACCAATGATCAAATTTAGTATGACTATTTAGCAGTGACTTGATGAATGTATTAACATTTCAGAATTTAAGAGAAAGGAAAATAATTAAATAGCATGAAATTGACACATATTCTTTATAACTTGGTATCTATGAATGATATTACCACTTAGTATTAATCTGGATATAAACAAATGACTGTAAATTTTAAATTTAAATTCTTAAATAGAGGGATAATACTCTAATCCATGTTCTTTCCACTTTTCACTTTCTTTCTTCATACATCAGACATTGCAATGGTGTGTCCCTAGCAGATAAAATGCAAGCACTAATAAAGGAATTGACTCTCTACATATTATGTTATGGTATCTATATTGAGCATCAAGAATAATTCTTAGTGTTTCAACTGTCTCTAAGTCACTTTTGTGTACAAAATGTCAACTTTAAACTGCTTTTTATAGGCTATACAGATTTAGCTATTAAAATGAGGATCAGTGTAGTGGCTTTTATCTGCCCTTAATCCTTTTAAGTACATGAACCATATGAACCTTGTCTGAATAAATTCAACATATTTCTTTCTTCAGTGATCTAGAACAACTTCGAAAAATCAGACGACGAAGTCCTCATGAAGATACCGAGTCCTTTACTGTATACTTGAGATCAGATGTGGAGGCAAAGTAAGAATATAGTTCTTTTAGAATAAAAATACAAGCTGAATTTGGGATTAATAAAAATGTATTTTAGACAGACTCAGAATTTTTAAAATGACATGTTTTAAAAGCAGAATATTTTTACATTTCTAAAGGTATCTGAGAGTTACTAGTATGTACTAGTTAGCAAAATAAGTCATAATTTATGAGAAAATTTGCTGTTGAATTCACTCTTACTGTTTAGATTTAATTTAGAAAAATTTAAGTGCTTTATATTTTTCCTAAAGGACCTTATGCTTTGTTGTTAAATTCTCATATAGTTTTAGTTATCTAGATTTAAATATGATTATAATAAAGTCATTAAAATTGTCATTGTTGGTGGTCGTGTGTACACAGATCTTTGGAAGTTTGGGGAAGCCCTGAAGCTCTTGCCAGAGAGAAAAAACTTCGTAAGGAAGCAGAAATAGAATATAGAGAAAGTAAGTATATTAAATTTACAGCTGAGTTAACTGAAAAGCAACTTGTAAGTAAGACTTGTGCCTATAATAACTATGCCCTCCCTAGTGGTTGCCCACCTCTTGGCTTTGGCTTTGTTGCTTCTAGCAAATACCAGTTTTCTTTTTGGGATTCAATTATTTTATAAAAACAGTATTATTTGTTTTCTCCTCTATAGCTTTTTAAAGATCATGAGAGCATGCAAAGGTAGTTTGTGGTTTCTATAAGATATATGAATATTAAAACTTAGGGTCTGATTTGAAGATTGTACCTGTTTAAAGGTAAATCCTAGTTTCTAAGGGATTTTGGCCTCTCAGAAGAAGCAAACAGCTGTTGAGCATCTTTATATTCACAGATATGCTAAGGAGAGCTGCACTTAAATCCACAGGAATGAAATGTTTAGTTTCTTTTTTTAAAATTTGTTTTTCAGTGAGGTAACATTGGTTTATAACATATATTTCATGTGTACAACATTATATTTCTACTTCTGTTTACCCTACAGTGTGATCACCACCAAAAATTTAGTTTCCATCTGTTACTGTACAGTTGATCCATTTTACCCATTTCACCCTCAAGTAACCACTACTGTTTTCTGTATCTACATTTTTGGTTTGCTTTGGATTGTTCATTTATTTCGTTTGTTTGTTTTTTATATTCTACATATGAGTGAAATCATATGGTATTTACATCTCTCCATCTGACTTGTCTCACTTAGCAGATGGTAAGAGTTCACCTTTTTATGACTGAGTAGTATTCCATTGAGTAAAAATACCACATCTTTATCCATTCATCTGTTGTTGGGGGCTTAGGTTGTTTCCATATCTTGGCTATTGAAAATAAATGCTACAATGAACATAGAGGCGCATATATCTTTTCTAATTAGTGTTTTCGTATTCTTTGGATTAAATACCCAAAAATGGGATAGCTGGATCATATGGTAATTTTATTCTTAATTTTTTGACGAATCTCCATACTGTTTTCCTTAGTAGGCTGCACTAATTTGCATTCCCATCAACAGTGCATATGGTTTTCCTTTTCTCTGCATCCTCACCAACAGTTGTTTTTTCTTACCTTTTTGATACTAGCCATTCGAACAGGCGTGAGGTGATGTCTCATTGTGTTTTGATTTACATTTCCCTAATAATTAGTGATGTTGAACATCTTTTCATATTCTGTTGGCCATCTGTATGAAAAAATGTCTTTGGAAAAAATGCCTATTCAGCTCCCCTGCTTTTTGTGTGTGTGTGTGTGTGGTATGTAGGCCTCTCACTGCTGTGGCCTCTCCTGTTGCAGAGCACAGGCTCCGGACGCGCAGGCTCAGCGGCCATGGCTCACAGGCCCAGCCGCTCCGCGGCATGTGGGATCTTCCCGGACCGGGGCACGAACCCGTGTCCCCTGCATCGGCAGGCAGACTCTCAACCACTGCGCCACCAGGGAAGCCCTCCCCTGCATTTTTTAATTGGGTTTTTTTGTTGTTGTTGTTTAATTGGGTTGTCTGTATTTTTTGGATATTAACCCCTTATCAGATATTTCATTTCTTTTCCCATTCATTAGGTTGGTTGTCTTTTCATTTTGTTGATGGTTTTTTTTGCTGTGTAGGAGCTTTTTAGTTTGATGTAGTCCTGTTGGTTTATTTTTGCTTTTGTTTCCCTTACCTGAGGAGATATAGCTAGAAAGATAGAGTGAAGACCGATGTCAGAGTGTACTGCTGCTTATGTTTTCTTCTAGGAGTTTTATGGTTTCAGGGCTTACATTGAGGTCTTTAATCCGTTTTGTGTTGATTTTTGTTTAAGGTGTGAGATAATGGCCTAGTTTCATCTTTTTGCATGTAACTGTCCCATTGTCCCAATTTTCCCAACTAATGAGTTGAAGAGACTGTCCTTCTTCCATTGTATGATGTTTGCTCCTTTGTCATAAATTAATTGTCCATATATGTGTGGGTTTCTTTCTGGGCTCTAAATTCTGTTCCACTGATGTATGTCTCTTTTTCTGCCAGTACCATGCTGTTTTGATCACTATGGCTTTGTAATTTAGTTTGAAATCAGGGCATGTGATACCTCCAGCTTTATTCTTTTCTCTCAGTATTGCTTTAGCTATTTGGGGTCTTTTGTGGTTTCATAAAACTTACAGAATTTTTTGGTTCTATTTCTGTGAAAAATGTCCTTGGGGTTTTGATAGGGATGTGTTGAGTCTGTAGCTGAAATGTATTTTTTTTTTTAAATTGAGGTATAGTTGTTTTACAATGTTGTGTTAGTTTCTACTGTACAGCAAAGTGAAGTAGAGTTCCCTGTGCTATACAGCAGGTTCTCATTAGTTATTTTATACATATTAGTGTATATATGTCAATCCCAATCTCCCAATTCATCTCATCCCTCCTTTTCCCCCTTGGTGTCCATACATTTGTTCTCTATGTGTGTCTCTATTTCTGCCTTGCAAACAGGTTCATCTGTACCATTTTTCTAGATTCTACATATATGCATTCATATACAATATTTGTTTTTCTCTTTCTGACTTACTTCACTCTGTATGACAGTCTCTAGGTCCATTCACATCTCTACAAATGACCCAGTTTCGTTCCTTTTTATGGCTGAGTGATATTCCATTGTATATATGTACCATATCTTCTTTATCCATTCGTCTGTCAGTGGGCATTTAGGTTGTTTCCATGACCTGGCTATTGTAAATAGTGCCACAATGAACATTGGGGTGCATGTGTCTTTTTTCTTTTTTAATAAATTTATTTATTTTATTTATTTGTTTTTGGCTCCTTTGGGTCTTGGTTGTGGTGCATGGGCTTCTCATTGCAGTGGCTTCTCTTGTTGCCGAGCACGGGCTGTAGGCACACGGGCTCAGTAGTTGTGGCTCGTGGGCTCTAGAGCACAGGCTCAGTAGTTGTGGCACATGGGCTTAGTTGCTCCATGGCATGTGGGATCTTCCTGGACCAGGGTTCGAACCCATGTCCCCTGCATTGGCAGGCGGATTCTTAACCAGTGTGCATCGAAAGGCGGACTCTCAACCACTGTGCCACCAGGGAAGCCCTATTTTTAGTTTTTTTGAGGAACCTCCATACTGTTCTCCATAGCGGTTGTATCAATTTACATTCCACCAACAGTGCAAGAGGGTTCCCTTTTCCCTGCACCCTCTCCTGTAGCTGAAATGTTTACTTTTTTTTTTTTTTGGCTGCACTGCACGGCTTGTGGAATCTTAGTTCCCTGACCAGGGATTGAACCCGTGCCCTCTGTAGTGGAAGTGCAGAGTCCTAACCACTGGACCACTAGGGAATTCCATGAAATATTTACTTTTTTTTTTTTTTTCTTTGCGGTACGTGGGCCTCTCACTGTTGTAGCCTCTCCCGTTGCGGAGCACAGGCTCCGGACGCGCAGGCTCATCGGCCATGGCTCACGGGCCCAGCCCCTCCGCGGCATGTGGGATCTTCCCAGACCGGGGCACGAACCCGCATCTCCTGCATCGGCAGGTGAACTCATAACCACTGCGCCACCAGGGAAGCCCGAAATGTTTACTTTTGATGAAAGAAATACATGTGGGGGTCAGGGAGCCCCAGAATTGTGGTATCACTATTCAGTTAATGGCTTCCATTGGGTTTCTTTATAGGCAATACAGGTGCTAATATAGGATATGATGAAATCTTCGAGTAGGGCATAATCCATTGGGGAATTAGATACTTGTACTACAGTTACAGTTCTGTTACTCTGTGGAACTGAACGGTAATGTGGCAGGATTAAAGTAGAGATAGACGTGCTAGTATTTGCAAAAATTAGACTTTTGTTTTGGTCAGGCTTTATTTAGGAGAATTCTGACTTCTTTAACTATATTTCTAAGTTCTGCATAGGACCAAGGCTTAAAGGTGACAATATTTCCTTCTCCTCATGAGTTGGTGAAATTTCTAGGTGGAAATTATGAGACAGTTGTGGTCAGTAGCACAGGAAGAAAAGGGGTTGGGAGAGTGTTTTGAGTGTGTGGGTGTTCAGTGTCAAGAGGGACAGCAGTGGGTAGGAAGGAGATCAGGAGATCGGAAGAGCATGAAGAAGACTTGCAGGGAAGGAAAGAACAAAGTAGGCAAAGTCGTAGTGCTCAACTTCACTTTGGCCAGTGGAAACATCTCACATTGGCTCCGAAGTCCTTTTGTCTTAATCCAGGTACTGTTGTAGCATCCTTGCTTTTAGGTACAATAGATGTTTCAGGTTTATTTAGTATATTTCCTGCCCCAGATTGGGAATCAGCCATTTCTAACAGGAGACCCTTCCCTTTTAATAGGAAATAAAATTGAGAGACCTGTGGGCATTAGGGATACTCATTCTTAACAGGTTGATGTATTTTTAAGGTCTTTTCAGTGGACAGAGCTAGGAAATACTTTTTGTTTCTTAAGAAAAAACACATAGGTTATTCTGATAAACATTGTTTCTTTTCTTTTTGTATCTCTACACTGAAAATCTTATTTCTTAATTCATTAACATAATTAATTACATTTTTGGTTCTTATGTGAGTGTACACACATATAGAGAGAATACAGTGTAGTTTCAAACTAACAGGATCGATATTGCTATCAAGGTGTTTTAAGATTTCTGTTTTTCTTTTTGTCATCATTATATATCCCACGAGGGATATATAGTCAAATGTCTATGCTTTAAAGTCACTTTTAATTTCTCATTGTATGGATAAACCATCTAACAGATGTAAAATTAGCTTCATTTTGCTTTAGATTTTGAGAAATTATTTTTATTTTATAATTTTGTAAAATGTTTACACAATTCCAAAGCGACCTTTACCAGACAAAACACTTCAGAGGAGTTTAGCTCCCATCCCTGTCTTCTCTACCCTACTCCCTCTCTCTAACATGGGTAACTGTTTAAAAAATTAGTTTGGGGTCTTTCCTGGTGGTGCAGTGGTTAAGCATCCACCTGCCAATGCAGGGGACATGGGTTCAAGTCCCGGTCTGGGAAGATCCCACATGCCGCAGAGCAGCTAAGCCCGTGCACCACAGCTACTGATCCTGCGCTCTAGAGCCCGCAAGCCACAGCTACTGAAGCCCGCGCGTCTATAGCGTGTGCTCCACAACAAGAGAAGCCACCGCAGTGAGAAGCCCGCACACCACAACAAAGAGTAGCCCCCGCTCGCTGCAACTAGAAAGCCCATGCACATCAACAAAGACCCAACACAACCAAAAATAAAATAAAAAATTAGTTAAAAAATTTTAGTTTGGGGGTTATTTTTTCCCTTTAAAAATTGCAATAAAATAGCATACATACTGGTAATTTAGACTCCCCTTTTCATAAATAAGGCATACTATGCATACTTTCTGTGCTTGCTTTTTTTTTTTTTTTACTTGATAATATGTCCTGGAGAATATTCCATAGCAGGAAATAGAGACATTTCTTCATTTCTTTTATAATACTCCATTTTGGGGGGTACAGCATAGTTTATTCAATTATTTCCTCCTTCTGTCATTTCCAGTTTTTTGCTAGTAAAATAATGATACCATGAATAGCCTTGTACATATATTAAAGGAGATATTTAAAGTACAGAATTTGAGAAAGCACGGTAATAGAAAAATACTTTTTCCTGTATTTTTAAACTTTGAGCTAACAATGAAGAATTGGTTCTTGTATTTTTTAGTTAATACTGAGACGAGACTCTTAGCAAACTGCCTTTATCTCATTGCAAAATACAACATAAAATTTATCATTTTAACTGTTTTTATGTGTACAGTTCAGAAGTGCTAAGTATATTCACATTGTTATGAAACATTTCCAGAAAATGTTCTTCTGGAACCTTTTTCATCTTGCAAAACTGAAACTATACATGTTAAACAATTCCCTTCTCCCTCTCCCTCGAGCCCCTAGTAACTACTATTCTTTTTTCTGCTTCTATGAATTTGACTACTGTAGATACCTCACATAAATGGAATCATACAGTATTTGTGTTTTTGACTAAGTTATTTCACTTAGCATAATGTCCTCAAGGTTCATCCATGAGACAGGATTTACTTCCTCATAAAGTCTAAATAATATTCCATTATATGCATATACCACATTTTGTTTATCCATTTATTCGTCCATGGATGTTTTGGTTGCTTTCACTTCTTGCCCATTGTGAATGGTGCTGCTGTGTGCTGCTGTGAATTTGGGTGTGAAAATACCTCTTTGAGACTGTGCTTTCATTTTTTTTGTGTATATACCCAGAAGTAGGATTGCTAGATCATATGGTATTTTTTTTTTTCCAAGAAGATGTTGGGGGTAAGAGTTTTATTAATTAATTAATTTATTTTTGCTGTGTCCGGTCTTCGTTTCTGTGCGAGGGCTATCTCTTGTTGTGGCAAGCGGGGGCCACTCTTCATCGCGGTGCACGGGCCTCTCACTATCGCGGCCTCTCTTGTTTCAGAGCACAGGCTCCAGAAGCGCAGGCTCAGTAGTTGTGGCTCACGGGCCTAGTTGCTCCACGGCATGTGGGATCCTCCCAGACCAGGGATCGAACCCGTGTCCCCTGCATCCCAGACCAGGGATCGAACCCGTGTCCCCTGCATTAGCAGGCAGATTCTCAACCACTGCGCCACCAGGGAAACCCCATATGGTAGTTTTTAATTGTTTTGAGGAACCTCCATGTTTTCCATGGCAGTTGCAATATTTTATAATCCTACCAACATACTCAAGATTTCCAATTTCTCTACATCCTTGCCTATACTTGTTACTATTATTATTATTTTTTTGACTGCGCTCTGTGGCGTGCGGGATCTTAGTTCCCTGACCAGTGATCAAACCTGTGCTCCCTACATTGGGAGTGTGGAGTCTTAACCACTGGACCACCAGGGAAGTCCCTATACTTGTTATTTTCTGTTGGGTTTTTTTTTGTTTTTGTTTTTGTTTGATAGTAGCCATTCTGATGGGTGTGAAGTGATACCTCATTGTGGTTTTGATTTGCATTTCTCTGATGGTTAGTGATACGAGCATCTTTTCATGCACCTGTTGGCCATCTGTATATCATCTTCGGAGAAAAGTATTCAAATCCTTTGCCTGTTTTTTAATCAAGTTGCAAATTCAGATTTCTTCTAATAACATTTATGTTGGTAGCTAGTAGAAGATGATTTAACATAGTCTTAGAATAATTGTGTTAATCTAAAATGTGACTGATAAGAATATGTATGACCTAAATGTATTGTGTAATTCTTTTCTTATAGGGCTATTTAGAAACCAAAAAGTATTGAGAGAATATAGAGAGTTTCTGGGAAATACCAAGGTAAGGATATCTTTCTGTTAATGTTATGTGTGTATGTGTTGCACAGAAAATCCTAGTATCAGTCCATGGTGAAAATCTAGCATGCCTGTGATCCTATACCAAGATTTTCCTAAGTAGATTGTAATTTACTGAATTACAGTCTCTTTGCTTCTGTCTGTTTTTCTTAAAATTAAAAAAATTGGGACATAAGTTCTCTTTAAATTCATAACTGTGTTATACACATAAGCATATAGATATAGATGATTTATTTTGTTAGATTTTTAGCAAGATTTAGCTCTTGTATACACCTTTAATTTCCTTTATTCTTTTTCCCTCTACTCTTAACCTTGTTTAACATTCAAAGTGCTAATCCTCTGCTTGTACCCAAGAAGCTCAGCCCTTAGAGGAGAAAATTGCACAGCCATTTTGATGATTTTTTTTCTTTATTATATAAGTGTACAAAATCTATGGGCACTCAGTATTTGTCAGTCTTATTAAACTTCCATAGTACGTTCACTCTCCCATTCTGTGAGATACTTACTGCATACCTTTTCCTCTCTTCCCAAACTTCCTGCAGACTCGCTTTCCCTCTTCAGCTGATGACCTTGTTTTATATTTCATTGAAAAAATCTAATCTGATAGAAGTACCTTATCTTTCCATTAGCAGACTTACTACCTTATTGACAAGTGTGCCAGAATAACTCTTTTCCTTCCTATCAGAAGGAAATTAATATTGGGACCAGTACAGAAAGTTTACCTTTACTGTCCCACTTCCTTATTTTATTTTTTTTAAACTAGATTGCCTGTTTATTATTAAAGGATATATAGTTCAGGAACAGCCAGATGGAGGAGGTGCAGGAGGCAAGGCATGTGGGAAGGGGTCAGAACTTCCATGCTCTCTGGGCAGCCACTCTCCCTGAATCTCCGCACATTCACCAAACCCCCTCCTCTCAGGGTTTTACAGAGGCTTCATTACATAAGCATGACTGATTAAACCACTGGCCGTTGGAGGCTGAACTCAATCTCCAGCCTCTTTCTCAGCACTGGAGGTTGGAAAGTTATAACCCTTTAATTACATGGTTGGCTCCTCTGGTGACCAGCCCCAAATCTTACTTTCTTTTTTTTTTTTCCAACTAATTTTTATTGGAGTATAGTTGCTTTACAGTGTTGTGTTAATTTCTGCTGTACAGCAAAGTGAATCAGCTATACGTAGACATATATCCCCTCTTTTTTGGATTTCCTTCCCATTTAGGTCACCACAGAGCACTGAGTAGAGTTCTCTGTGCTATACAGTAGGTTCTCACTAGTTATCTATTGATATTTTATATATAGTAGTGTATATATGTCAATCACAATCTTCCAATTCATCCCACCCCCCCTTCCCTGCGTGGCGTCCATACGTTTGTTCTCTACATCTGTGTCTCTATTTTTGCTTTCAAATAAGTTCATCTGTATCATTTTCATAGATTCCACATATAAACGATACTATACAATATTTGTTTTTCTCTTTCTGACTTACTTCACCCTGTATGACAGTCTCTGGGCCCATCCACGTCTCTGCAAATGGCACGATTTCATTCCTTTTTATGGTTGAGTAATATTCCATTCTATATATATACCACATCTTTTTTATCCATTCCTCTGTTGATAGACGTTTAGGTTGCGTCCATGTCCTGGCTATTGTAAATAGTGCTGCAATGAACATTGGGGGGGGTGCATGTATCTTTTTGAATTATGGTTCTCTCTGGATTTATGCCCAGGAGTGGGATTGCTGGGTATATGGTAGTTCTATTTTTAATTTTTAAAAAATTTTTATTTATTTATTTATTTATGGCTGCGTTGGGTCCTTGTTGCTGTGCACGGGCTTTCTTTAGTTTCGGGGGCTACTCATCGTTTTGGTGCACGAGCTTCTCATTGCAGTGGCTTCTCTTGTTGTGGAGCACGGGCGATGTGTGGACTTCAGTAGTTGCGGCATGTGCGCTCAGTAGTTGTGGTTCGTGAGCTCAGTAGTTGTGGCTTGTGGGCTCTAGAGCGCAGGCTCAGTAGTTGTGACGCATGGGCTTAGTTGCTCTGCAGCATGTGGGATCTTCCCAGATCAGGACTCAAACCCTTGTCCCCTGAATTGGCAGGTGGATTCTTAACCACTGTGCGAACAGGGAAGTCACCAGCCTTGTTTTTGTCCATTCTTCACACGAAACTTACTTCTGTTTCAGAATCTTTGAGTGTGTTGTATACTCTGCCTCAACCATTTTTCTTCCAGATTTTTCATGGTTGCCTCCTTCTCATCGTTGAACTTCTTTCCCTCACTATTCTAACTATAATAACCCTGTCCATCATACCCCCCCAACACTATTCTCTCAGTCTCTGTTTTAGTTTCTTTATTATATTTATCACTATCAGATATGACAGACTTATTCTCTATCTTCCTATACTAGGCAGTGAAATCTATGAAGGCAGGGACTCTGTTTTGTTTACTGTTGTACCCCAGCATCTAGAACTGTGCCAGGCATATAGTACTTGTACAGTAAATATTTCTTGAATAAATTACATAAGGCAGAATATATGACGTACTTCAACAGAAAAGTAAAGTACAATAATAAATGTGTAGCAGAGTGAGTATTCTCTGTGGGGGACCAAGGACGGCTTTACGTAGAAAGCTGACACTTGGCCAGATATACAAGAAGATGAGTAAAGCTTGCCCAGGTTGCAGTGGAAGATGATAGCATTCCAAGGAGAGGAAAGAGCAGGAGGAGAAACACAGAAAGTATAAATTCAAGGAATAGCAGAAGAACATTTGACTGAAGAAAAATATTTTCCCTGAATATGTTCTTGTTTGATTTCCTTTTGTTTTGGTGTGTTTTGAAATTAAACACATTGTTAACACTTGATGTCTTTGGTCTTTAGAGAACAGTCATGAGTTAAATTAGAGCAACAAACTTGTTGGCTTTGGCTGTTCCTTGTACTATAAGTTAAGAAGTTGCTCAAGAAATGGGAAAATTTTAGAGTATTTCAGTGCAGTACATTTTTTTTTTTAATTAAGGGTACTTTAATTAATTAATTTTTTCTGTGTTGGGTCTTCGTTTCTGTGTGAGGGCTTTCTCTAGCTGTGGCAAGCGGGGGCCACTCTTCATCGCGGTGCGCGGGCCTCTCACTATCGCGGCCCCTCTTGTTGTGGAGCACAGGCTCCAGACGCGCAGGCTCAGTAGTTGTGGCTCATGGGCCTAGTTGCTCCGCGGCATGTGGGATCTTCCCAGACCAGGGATCGAACCCGTGTCCCCTACATTAGCAGGCAGATTCTCAACCACTGCGCCACCAGGGAAGCCCTAGTGCGGTACATTTTTATCACTTTACTTCTGGTTTTTATGTAACCAACTCAGATTTTTTCCTGAAGTAGGCAGGAAATGAATTACAAGGAAATAAACAATTAAGGTTCTGCAAAAGGACCCACATGTACTTTCAATTTCCGTCTTCTCACATCTTAAACAGGAAATTCTAGAGAAAAAAAATTAAATAAGTAAATCTAGTTGTTTAGAGGCATTGATAAAGGAGGTATTTTCTGGTGTGTCAAGAGTCACTTATTAGCGTCACAATGCTTCTCTGGGAAATGTTAAGAGATGTTTTGTTTCTGTTTTTGTCTTATAGCCACGCTCTAGAACGACATCAGTTTTTTTTAAGGGGCCAGGAAAGGTGGTGATGGTTGCCATTTGCATGTAAGTACTGAAATATAAGCCTTTTAAAATAGAAATATTTTTAATGTATATATCCTTGAATGTATAAATTTATTACTTGGTATCTAGATAAAGATAAAGGTGCTATCTGAAAATTTTTCTCTCATTTTCACTGGCATTTATAGAAGTCTTTTTTAAAAAGTTGAATTGGCCAAGGTTATTTTTAGAGTAACTAAAGCAACCTGGGTTATAACTACTGAAGAGTACCTGCGCTTTTATTTTTCTCCCACTTAACCTTGGTAGAACATAATTAATGCTTTTGCCTCTTTCTTTTTTCCTCTTTCTTCTTTTTTTTTTTTAACTTTTTATTTTATATTGGAGTATAGGCAGTTAACAATGTTGTGATAGTTTCAGGTGCACAGCAAAGCAACTCAGCCATACATATATACATGTATCCATTCTCCCTGCAAACTCCCCTCCCATCCAGGCTGCCAGATAACACTGAGCAGAGTTCCCTGTGCTATACAGTAGGTTATTCATTTTAAATATAGCAGTGAAGTACTCCTCTTTCTTCTTGATTCCTGTTATTTTGCCTACCTTTTATCTATTTTACTGAATAATCTAATTTTGTATGTTTGAGCATTAATTCCATAATTCATTAGTTTGTTCTTTTATTTCTAAAAATACATATGTTACATGTGTCAGAAATTTTGATATGGTCTGGAAATGTAAAGGTAAAATACATAATTCTTATCTTCAAGGATTGGAGGGACACTAGACTAGAAGAAGTCATTTGTAATAATACAGAAAAGATAATGGTAGTAGGGATGGAGAGTCACGGTTAGTTTCAAAAAGTATTTAGGTGGTCTGGTTAGCGATGGTGCCCAGGTTTCTTATTTGGACAATTGGATAGATATTGCACCATCACTGAGAGAAGGAATGCTGGAAGGAGGGGGCAGGGTGGGAGTAAAGGAAATAATGAGTTCCTTTTTGAGTTTGAGTTATTTATAGGGCACCCAAGGGGAGTTGGTCAGCAGAATTAATTCTTTTCATTAATAAAACAGGATTAACAGTGAAAGCTTTTTACGTTGGAGGAATGTATGTAATGTATATAAACTGCTTAGCATAGTACCTGTTACATAATATGTACTTAATAATTATTATTGTTAGTATATATGGCTCCGAAGCTCAGGAGGGATTAGAGATATAGAATCAAGAGTTATTAGTATATAGATGATAATTAAAGCCATAGGAGTAGTTAAGATCACCTGGAGAATGTGTATGTAGTGTATGAGGAAGGAGAAGCTCTTGAGGAAAAACCTTGAAGAACGCTAACATTTAAGAAACGGGTAGAAGAAAGAGAGCCTGCAGAAGAGACTGAGGAGGAGTAAAGAGAAAGGTAGGAAGAAAACCAGTAGTATTGTGGAAATCAAGGAAGACAGTGTTTTCAGAAAATAATGGCAAATGCTTCTGTGAGATTAAGGAAAATATTAAAATGTTTTCAGGAATTTAATAGCAAGAAACAGTTGATATATTGATAAAAACAATCTTATGAGGTGTTAGCCGCAGAAGCCACTGTTTAGTGGATTGAAGACTGAGTGCAAAGTGAGGAAAACTGAGACAGCAAGAGTGGATATAATTCTTTTAAGAAATTATTTGAAATGGAGGAGAGGAGAAAAGGGTAGCTGGAAGGGGATGTACAGTTTCCTCATTTATAAAATGAGGATGAAGTAACTGCTACAATGTTAGCATTTGCATAATAGAATTACAATAAAACATGGTAAGTGACTATAGTATAGTGCCTGAGATAAATTATACTAGTTATTACTGTTGGAATCTGAGTACAGCTGGCTTCCTCAGAGCTAACCATGTTTATTTTAGCATGTATGGCCTTCTCATATGACACAGACTATTTGGTCTAGTTTTTTCTTCACCTCTGGCATCTGCCTAATTAAATAAACCGACCTTCACCAACGTCTTCCCTTTGACACTGGCCTACTGAACAATACCAAGTGCACATAAGACACATAATTTCCTTTCTGATTCCATTTTGTTCATATGTAGAACACCCTCTTTTCTCATCTTCTCAAAACGTACTTAAGTAATTTGCTGGCACGTATCATGCCTCTTTCATTTAAATATTTAATGAAACCATAATCTGTGTTCTTCAAATTTGTACTCCTGTTGCCTAAAACATAGTAAATCTTAAAGACTAGGGATTCTTTCTCATTTACTTTGAACAGAATCTAGTGTGTGTGTGTGTGTGTGTGTGTGTGTATCAATTAAGTAAGCTTTTAATGGGAATTTTTATTTAAACCTATGCTAAGTTATTTTCTCTTTCTCTCCTAGCAATGGATTAAACTGTTTCTTCAAATTTCTTGCCTGGATTTATACGGGTTCAGCAAGTATGTTCTCAGAAGCTATACACTCTTTATCTGATACTTGTAATCAGGTGAGGGGTAAAAGCTTCTTTCTTATTAAAGTAATATAATTTTTGAGGCTTTAGTCTAAAAGTTGACATATTTAAAAACATAATGATTCCTATAGTTGGGTTGTAGAAGAAAATGAAAGTTGTTTTACTTTTGAATGATGACGTACATAGAAATATGACATAGTATTTGAAAGCAGTTTGTTATGCTTTAAAAACTTTTAATAATCAAATATGAAGTGTAAGATTATCAGTCACAGAGGCTATTGTAGAAGAGATTCTTATATTAGGTAGAAATTTGGTCTGTGAATATGAGTTCTTATAACTGTAAGAGCCGGTGGATTTAAGTGTTTTGAATAAAGATATAAAATAGTCACATGTGATTGATGAATTATAATGATTTTCACCTTAGACTAGTATTTTGATTTTGAATACTACAAATCTAAGCCTTTTTTAAGAACACAACATTTCTACTTGTATATCATTTCACATTTTAAAGAATGTGGCCTGTTAAGGAGAAAACCTTTTTAGTATTTATTTATTTATTTATACTCCTGTTATGTAAGAACAGATTTGGGAGAACTTACAATAAAAGACACAGGTATAATAAGAATATTTAAGACAAAGTTAAAAATAATAATAAAATGGTAAGAAGCAGGGAGAGCAATCTTAATAAAATTAAACCTGAGAACTCATGTAACTCACTGTCAAATGGATTAAAACGTTTTGTAAAAGTAAGGAAACAATACAGGCATTTGCTATTAGTACTAACAGTCATTCTCTTGAATTAAATTTTTATACTCAGTAAATATTTAATAACTACTATTATATAATATTTTGCCTGTTGAGTCGGGGAGAGGAGGGTGGGAGAGATATGACACACAGTACCTATTTTGTTGAAAGCTTATGTGAACGTAAGAAAATTAAAATGTGAAAATATCTGTACATTTGGCCAAGGAGATATGTACATATTATTAATTTTAGTATTAGTTGTTATTTAAAACATTGAAGACAATTTTTAAAAAATTTATTTATTTTATTTTTGGCTGCATTGGGTCTTTGTTGCTGCCCATGGGCTTTCTCTAGTTGTGGAGAGCGGGGGCTGCTCTTCGCTGCGGTGCATGGGCTTCTCATTTGCAGTGGCTTCTCTTTTGGCACAAGGTGCGTAGGCTTCAGTAGTTGTGGCAGACGGGCTTAGTTTTTCCGCGGCATGTGGGATCTTCCTGGACCAGGGCTTGTACCCGTGTCCCCTGCATTGGCAGGCGGATTCTTAACCACTGTGCCACCAGGGAAGCCCTGAATACAATTTTTAAGTGTCTGTACTCTGAAATACTATTTAGGGATTTAAAAGCATGTGGTAGATAGCTATGTACGGATCTGGAATAATAACCATGATATGAATAAAAAAATCAAGTTGTAAAACATTGTGTACAGAACTTATGTTTCTAGCCATGATGGACTAATGAGGATTGGACTTTAGTCTTTTGCTATAAACAGCCAAAAAACTAGACAAAATATATTAAACAATATTTTCAAACATTGGACAATAGCAATGCAAGACCATGATCCCTGAGGAAGGGGAACAGGTGAATTGAACTCTGTGATTTCTCTGGTGTTTTGCTTGGAGGCGCATTTGCGATAGTGGAACAGGGTGGGAGACCCATCATAGAGTTGAGAAGGTAGAAATTAGGGTTAGTGAGTCTGAAGTGGCTAGAAATTACAAGGCTACAGAAGTCTACCTAGGGTTTTCCTTGAGTTGAATCTTTGCTGAGTGTTAGATTACACATGTGTAGGGTAAAGCTCCATGAGACCAGGCAAAGAACCAGCAGGGAGCGTTAAGCTGAGTAATTCCTAGAGTTCACATCGGGCTTGAATTAATTAAGTTCTGACGTTCTGAGATAGAGAGTCCTGATGGATTACTCAGGCCAGTAGAAGGCTCAGACCTTAGTAGTAGGGCTAAATTATCTTAGTTGTAAAGACTATAGAACAGGGGTCCCCAACCCCCAGGCCGCGGACCAGTACCTATCCTCGGCCTGTTAGGAACTGGTCCACACAGCAGGAGGTGAGTAGCGAGCGAGCAAAGCTGCACCTGCCGCTCCCCATCGCTTGCATCACCGCCTGAACCATCTCCACCCCACCCCCCACCGTCTGCCACTGGTCCGTAGAAAAATTGTCTTCCACGAAACCGGTCCCTGGTGCCAAAAAGGTTGGCAGCTGCTGTTCTAGAACCTTTCTAACAAAGCTCTAAGGGATCACATTGATTTACAAGTAACTTAATTACCTGTGAGAATAAAGCCCCACATGCTATTATAAGGAAGACAAAATCCAGACACACAGTATAACGTTCACAATGTCAGCATCTAATAAAAAAATTATTAGACGACCATGAAGCAGAAAGTCTGACTCACAACCAGGAGAAAAATTAGTCAGTAGAAAGACTCAATTGACATATGGTAGAATTAGCAGAAAAGGATAAGTGGCTATTATAAGTACGTTCATGTATTGAAAAGAAAATATGAACATCATGAAAAGAGAAATGGAAGATACAAAGAAGAACCAAATGGAACTTTTAGAGCTGAAAAATATATCTGATGTGAAAAATCCACTATATAGAATTAGCAGATTAGACGTCATGGAAAAAATGATGAGTGAACTCAAATATATGGCAGTAGAAAACATTCATACTAAAACTAGAGTGAAAAGAGACTAAAAAAGATGAAGGGAGCCTTAGACCTGTGGGACATTATCAAGAGAATTCTATCAAACATTTAACGAAGAAATAATGCCAGTAGTACACAGACTTTCAAATATAGAGTAGAAGGAAACACTTCTCAACTCCTCTAGTAAGGCTATCATAACCCTGATACCAAAACCTTAAAGTTATTCCAAGAAAAAAAAATACAAACCAGTATCTCTCATGAACATAGATGCAAAAATCCTTAAGATATAATCACATTGAATCTAGCAGTACACAAAAATGGTAATACATCATAATCAAGTGAGTATTATTCCAAGAAGCATGGTTAGTTTAACATTCAAAATCAATAGAAGGCTAATGTACAAAAGTCAGTTGCAGGTGCTTCCCTGGTGGCGCAGTGGTTAAGAATCCGCCTGCCAATGCAGGAGACACGAGTTCGAGCCCTGGTCCGGGAAGATCCCACATGCTGTGGAGCAACTAAGCCCGTGCGCCACAACTACTGAGCCTGCGCTCTAGGGCCTGCAAGCCACAGCTACTGAGGCCCGCGCGCCTAGAGCCTGTGCTCCGCAACAAGAGAAGCCACCACAATGAGAAGCCGGCGCACCGCAATGAAGAGTAGCCCCCGCTCGCGGCAACTAGAGAAAGCCACACACAGCAATGAAGACCCAACACAGCCAAAAATAAGTAAATAAATAAATTTATTTTTTAAAAAATCAATTGCATTTTTACTATCAGGAAACAAATGGAGAGTGAAATTTTTAATAAATTCCATTTATGATGTTAAATACTTAGGAGTAAATTTAACAAAAAATGTGTAAGACTTTAACACTGGAATCTTAAAATGTAACTATGGGAAATTAAAGATGACCTAAGGGGCTTCCCTGCTGGCTCAGTGGTTCAGAGTCCGCCTGCCGATGCAGGGGACACGAGTTCGTGCCCCGGTCCAGGAAGATCCCACATGCTGCGGAGCGGCTGGGCCCGTGAGCCATGGCCGCTGAGTCTTTACATCCAGAGCCTGTGCTCTGCAACAGGAAAGGCCACAACAGTGAGAGGCCCGCGTACCGCAAAAAAAAAAAAAAAAAAAAAAAGACCTAAGGAGGTGGAGAGAGATACCATGATCATGGATTTGATAACTGCATTAATATGTCATATTTCCCTAAATTAATCTATAGATTTCATATAATCCAGCAGGTTCTTTTGTAGAAATTGACAAACTGATTAAATTCTAAAATTTATATGGAGGGACTTCCCTGGCAGTCCGGTGGTTAAGACTCCACTCTTCCACTGCAGAGGGTATGGGTTTGATCCCTGGTTGGGGAACTATAATCCCGCATGCCGCATGGCGTGGCCAAAAAAATAATAATAATAAATAAAATTTATATGGAAATGTAAAGAACCTGGAATATTCAAAGCAATCTAAAAATAAATGAAAGAAATTTGGAGGGCTTTAAAACTTATTTCAGAGCACAGTAATTAAGACAGTGCGGTATTGGCACAAGGACTGACAGACCAGTGGAACAGAATAGAGGGTCCAGCAACAGACCCTCAGTTACATAGTCAGTTGATTTTTGACAAAGGCACCAAAGCAGTTCAGTGAAGAAAAGAAACTCTTCAACAAACGGTATGGGAAAGGTTGGATATCCACATGGATAAAAAAACGAAGGACCTTGATTCCCACTCATGCCATGTACAAATTTAAGGTGGGTCATAGACCCAGGTGTACAAGCTAAAACTATGAAAATACTAGAAGGAAACCTAGGAGAATATCTTCTAAGCCTTTGGGTAGGCAGAGGTTTCTTAAACAGAACACAGAAACAAAACCATAAAATAAAAAAATTTACAAATTAAACTTCATCAAAATTACTCTTACTTATTAAAGGACACTTTTTTTTTGGCTGCATTGGGGCTTTGTTGCTGCACATGGGCTTTCTCTAGTTGCAGCGAGCAGGGACTACTCTTCATTGCGGTGCACAGGCTTCTCATTTCAGTGGCTTCTCATTGCGGAGCACAGGCTCTAGGTGCGCAGGCTTCAGTAGTTGCGGCATGTGGGCTCAGTTGTTGCGGCACGCAGGCCCTAGAGCGCGTGGGCTTCAGTAGTTGCAATGCATGGGCCCAGTAGTTGTGGCACATGGGCTCAGTAGTTGTGGCTCATGGGCTCTAGAGCGCAGACCCAGTGGTTGTGGCGAATGGGCTTAGTTGCTCCGTGGCATGTGGGATCTTCCTGGACCAGGGATTGAACCTGTGTCCCCTGCATTGGCAGGTGGACTCTTATTTATTTATTTAATTAGTTTATTTATGGCTGTGTTGGGTCTTTGTTGCTGCATGCAGGCTTCTTTAGTTGTGGCCAGGCGGGGGCTACTCTTTGTCATGGTGCCGGGGCTTCTCATTGCGGTGACTTCTCTTGTTGCAGAGCACGGGCTCTAAGCACGTGGGCTTCAGTAGTTGTGGCACGCAGGCGCAGTAGTTATGGCTTGCAGGCTCTAGAGTGCAGGCTCTAGTAGTTGTGGCGCATGGACTTAGTTGCTCTGCGGCATGTGGGATCTTCTCAGACCAGGGCTTGAACCCGTGTCCCCTGCATTGGCAGATGGATTCTTAACCACTGCGCCACCAGGGAAGTCCCTGAAGAATACTTTTAAGGCAATAAATAAGCAAGCTGCTCATAGGGAGAAAATATTCACAAAGCATATAATCTGACAAAGGACTGGTATCCAGGATAAATAAAGAACTTGTATAACTCAGTATTAAAAAGACAGTCCAGTCTTTTTAACAAGCTGAAGACTTGGAAAGGTACTTCACAATGATACCTGAATGTGGTTGATGGACACACAAAAAGGTGCTCAACACTGTTAATCACCAGGAAATGTATATTGTAACCCCAACAAGACATCTCTACACATCCGCTATTATGGCTAAAATTTAAGAGCCTGACAATCAAATATTGGTGAAGATGTAAAGCACCCAGACTTTTTAGACGTTGCTGGTGGAGTATAAAATGTTACAGCCACTCTTAAATTTGTCAGTTTCGGGCTTCCCTGGTGGCGCAGTGGTTGAGAGTCCGCCTGCCGATGCAGGGGACGTGGGTTCGTGCCCTGGTCCGGGAAGGTCCCACATGCCCCGGAGCGGCTGGACCCGTGAGCCATGGCCGCTGAGCCTGCGCGTCCGGAGCTGTGCTCCGCAACGGGAGAGGCCACAAAAGGGAGAGGCCCGCGTACCGCAAAAAAAAAAAAAAACAAAAAAAAAATTTGTCAGTTTCTTGTAAACATATGCCTACTGTTTGACTTAGCAATTCCACTCCTAAGTATTTATCCAAGAGTAATGTGAACAAATGTCCACAAAGACTTGTATAAGAATGTTTCTAGCACCATAAAGGTGCTATAATGGGCGAAAAACTGGAATCAACCCAAATGTCCATCAATAGTGGGATAAACAAGTTGTTGTATAGTCATACAATAGAATATTATCTAGAAATAAAAAGAAATACTTATCCGTAAGTAGCATATAAGCATCTCTAACAGTATGTTGAATAAAAGAAGGCAAAGACAAAAAAGTAGTTACTGTGTGATGCCATTTATATTAAGTTCTAGAATAGAACTTTGGCTTTAATCTTTGGGGGAGAACAGGATTAGCGATAGTCTATGATATCTTATTTTTATAAGAAGAACTAATAAGTAATGGCCCATATTCAACTTCTGAAACATTTGTTATCTCACACTTCATTGCACAGCCAACCTGAATATTAAGTATTTTAAAAATAATTGAACACTCATTGACTATTATGTAAACATTATAAACACAGATACATATATAGTGTGAATTGATAATGAATATTTCAGTTTTAATATACAGATTTTAAAATTATATGTTCTTAATTTACTCTTATTCTCTTAGTTTAATTCACTGAAAAGCCATCATCTATGTTTTAGGTAGTTTTGACTCTCTTTTCCTTTGGAATCCAGTAGAAAAAAACTTGTAATATTGTGTATATTTTGGATTGGATTTCTGATATCAAAACTTAAAAGTCAGTATATATTTGTTTTAGCCTTTTTTGTTTGTTTGTTTTTTGGCCGTGCCGCAAGGCATGTATTGTAGTTCTCTGACCAGGAATCCAACCCGCACCCCCTGCATTGGAAGTGTGGAATCTTAACCACTGGACCACCAGGGAAGTCCCTGAATGGACTAGCCATTTGCAAGGTGGTATAATCCCCATGTATTTTACAAGAGGGAATGTTTCTATAAATGCCCAGTAACCTACAGAGAAACTTCATCCATGAAGAATTTGGTAATCTTGAAGACTTACCTATTTGATTATTTGATACAATACTGAAAAAATGCAAAAACCCCAGCTTAGTCAAAAAAAATCACATAGGGTATTCACTCAGGCTTTGTGTTTTTATTAAATAAATAATTCTAGTGTAATCTTTTTCAGATTTCTAAATTTACATCAAATTAAGAGAAAGGATACTAAGTGCAAGCATAATATTGAGCGGTACCAGTGGATTACTCTTTTTAACAAAAGATACAATCAAAAAAAGAAACAGAAATAAAAGGAAGAAAAGATGAAGGCAAGGGAGGAAGGAAGCAGAGAAAGGTGGTAACTAGGATTAAAGACTTACATTTTTGTTATATTTACTTTAAACTTTTTTTCCCTAGAGAAATAAAATTTTAGTTATAACTAGTCTTCCATCTTTATTTCTTCCTTCCACACCCCAGATAGTCACTGCTCTGTATACATTGATGTGTATACTTCATGCGCATGGTTTTGCAGTTTTACTAGAAATGTAAATGTATCATGACCATATACAGTTTGTACTCACTCTTACTGTCTTTGGGACTTGCCTGGCGGTCCAATGGTTGAGACTTCGCCTTGCAATGCAGGTGGTGCGGGTTCGGTCCCTGGTCGGGAAACTAAGATCCCACATGCCTTGCAGCCAAAAAGCCAAAACATAAAACAGAAGCAATATTGTAACAAATTCAATAAAGACTTAAAAAAAAAATGGTCCACATCAAAAACAAAACAAAACAAAAAACTTTTACTGTCTTTTATTTGTGCAGCTATACAAGTTATTCTTCCCGTAAAAAATCAGATATTACAGACCACGCTAAACCTACTTCTCTCCTCAGAGGTATAAACAGAGTTAAATGTGAGTTCTTTCAGACCTTTTCCTGTGCTTTACATTATACGTCATTTACAAAAACTACAAAACATAAGTTCTTTTGTATTGTACGTGCGGTTCCTAAACTTGCTTTTTTCCCGTCCACTGAATGGTACGTCTAGGAGCTTTCACCATGTCAGTACAGAGAGCTCTATCCCCTTTTACACTGTTGTAGAAGTAATTTATGGTTTGGTTATACCATGATTTATTTTGCCACTCCCCATTGAAGGAGTTTTAGGTTGCTTTCACATTTTACATCATTATTCAGTGTTGTTTTGAACCCCTTTCGGTTCACCTTTATTTCTCTATGGTAAGTACTGGAAACAAGAATTGCTGGGCTATTGGACATGTTAAGTACTTCTTTGTCATTGTCAGGTTGTGCCCTCCAGACTGGCTTATTATATTCCCTTGCTAATGATTATTTACCTTCTTTTCTCCATAGGCCTTACTAGCATTGGGCATCAGTAAGTCTGTTCAAACACCAGATCCTACTCATCCGTAAGGACGTTGTCTTTATTTTGTTTTCATGTGTTTTGGCAGCAAGTAGTTGAATTATAGAAATCTCTTGCAGTTTATAGACCTGCAGTTTTGTGTTAAAGATTTGGTCATTTCTTCTGCTGTTGTATCTAAAATGCAGGACTCAACCTCTGTGTCAAAGTAAATTCAAGATATAATTTGAAAATGAGGTTCAAATTATTTTTATGCTTTGTAACATAGCAAAGAGATCCTGTCCTCTTTGTATTTGATAGTTAATAACAAAGCACGTGTTTTGATCTTAGAGTTCTGTTTTATTTGGTCAAAGGAGATACATATATTTCACATTTGGACTAATAGGCCACTCAATCTAAAATTTTAGTGATAATTTCTATTAAATTTATGCTTAATGTATTTTAATCCCCCTGTTGTGATTTGGAAATAGGATTCTATTAATATTTCAAAATTACTTATTTGTAAAATGAGTATGCTCTTTAGGGTATATTATTTTGAATTATATTAGTTATTTGATACAAAGACTTTTTTTCTGTTGCTTCTACTAACATAACCAGGTGAAAATTTTGAATTCCACATGTATTATTTTGTTTTTAACAAGCTTCTGTAGTAGAATTTGAGCAGTCAAATTTGCCTTAAGGCAAAAAAAAAATACACTTTTATTTCCATAAAGGAATCTGCCTCTGTGCTTTATATAAATGCCTTTCTTTACTTGAAAGCCAGGCACTCCTGTTTTCATATAAATAATAGCATATTATTGAATATCCTATAACTATCAGTAAGCTCGTACAGAGAACAGCTACCTTTCTAGTCTGCTAATTACACATGATTATAGTATTTTACTATGTCAAAAAAAATTTTTCCTGACCAGTTTTATATGCCAAAAATTTAAAAACGGTAAAATTTAAAAGCTTTAGGTTGCAAAGATTTCTTCTTAAGATATTTTCAACAACCTACTTTAGTACTGCCCAATAGAATTTTCTACAATAATAGAAATATTTATTTATACCTGTTCATTGTGATAGTCACTAGCTGCGTGTGGCTGTTGGGCACTTGAAATGTGGCTAGTGCGACTGAAGAACTGTATTAAAATTTTATCTAGTTTTAAGTAATTTAAATTTAAATAGTCTTACGTAGCTAGCGACTTACATTGGACAGTGCAGATCTACATAGTTAAAAATTTTAGGGACTTCCCTGGTGGCGCAGTGGTTAAGACTCTGCGGGCTCCCAGTGCAAGGGGCCCGGGTTTGATCCCTGGCCCAGTACTAGATCCCACATGCATGCCACAGCTAAGAGCTTGCATGCCACAACTACGACCCAATGCAACCAAAAAAAAATTTTTTTTTAATGAGAATCTCCAAATTCCTTGAAAACACATAAAATGAAAGTAATGCCATTTAATTTAGATCTTAATTTACCTTAACTTAAATAAATAAATATATCTCCTTTCTTACTTTGGGGGGGAAGCTTTAGAAGAATATAAATTGTTCTAAATCAAGCTGATAGAACACCATCACATCTATAAACTGATAATTTCCTATGGCAAAATTACATATTTGCAAAAAGAATTCAAAAAGCAATTTTAATTCAGAACTCTTGTTTAAATTTGCATCTGCTAGAAGGGTGCCATAGAGTTTGGGTTTGGGAGTAAATTTCCCAGAAAATACTTTTATTAATGAATGATTCTTTTCCTCTTGTAGTATCCCATATTTTAAAATTTCTTATTACTCAGTATTTTATTGGTACATACAGTAATACAGAATAATGCACACATTGACCAAAAGACTTTAAAAAAAAACCCTGAGATTTAACAAAAAAAAATTACCATAAAAAAACCCAGAAAACTGAAGCTCTTAGTCTTTTAATGATGGTAATTAGTGGCACTTCCCTGGCGGTCCAGTGGTTAAGACTCCGCACTTGCACTGCAGGGGGCGTGGGTTCGATCCCTGGTCTGGGATTTAAGGTCCCACATGCTGCCCGGTGCAGCCAAAAAAAAAAAGATAATAGTTACTGTGTGTTACACTATACAGAAACAGCAAAAAGTATCTAGCATCAAATTATAAGTAATATAAATTGTAGGAAATATAAATTATAGAAGAAGACAAATATTCAATTAGAAGCTGCATTACAAGTAAATATAAATGTTACCATCTTCATTAAACATCTGAATGCATTTAAAAAATAAATTTTGCCTGCATTTGTGTTACATAAAAGTAAAGTTGCTCTAGTAAATCAAAGCAAATATATGAAAGAGGGGTTAGAAAATACCTGAATTAAATCATATTCACTCTTTTTATATAATTTCAAAGATCTTGCAGTTTTTTCCACTTCATGTATTGATTTTCTGATTAGATTTGAGTTTGGCACTTACATTTTACTTAAATATAAAATCATAACATCATGATGTTATAAGAAGTTTTTTTTTTTTCATTGACCTATTAAACATTTTGAGAGGAAATCATTTGTATTTCTTGTAAACTATATTATCTTTTTTATTTTTCAGGTATGGATTTTCAAATATGCGCTATATTGCTTCACTAATTAGTGGTGTTGGTATTTTCATGATGGGTGCAGGATTATCTTGGTACCATGGAGTCATGGGATTGCTTAATCCTCAACCAATAGAATCTCTTCTATGGGTAATCTTCTCCCTTCCTCCCCTCTCAGTTTTGAAGTAATATGAAATAGTGATTAAGTACAGTAGAATGCCTTTGTCATATTGATGTTAAAGAATGGGACTAAATATACCTTCTTGACTGTAATATAGGGTTATGTATCTGTAGTTGTGTTTTTTAGAATGTGACTGGACATGACCTCTAAATCCATATGATTCAGTGATGTTGAGCAAGAATATCTCTGTAGGTACAGTTGTTAAACACTTCGTCCTTGGTTAAAATTTTGGGCAATTCTGTTAATTTCTGCTGTTACTTTTGAAAAGCAAGAAGACCTCTGTTCACTTTTAGTTCCAAGAATAAATGTCCTATCAGTAGTTAAAATAACCATTCCTTTGTAACAGTCATATGTTAGAATTTTATTTAAAGTTAAACCTTCTCCTTTTCCTCATTCTGGTAGGACGCCTACCTTGAGAGAATGGGAGTGTGGTTCCCGTCTGTATTTTTTCACTTAAGGGCTTCTCTTCTCTCCTACTTCATAGATTGCCTCTGGCAGCACTGAAGGTAGAGATAGGGGACAGAAAGGTACTACTTTACTGGTACCAATGTCATCTTGCACTGGTTTCCACTGGCCTTTGTAGATACTTAAAGCTGTCTTCTTTTCCTCTCATGGGAACTTCTTGGAGATTACTCTGCTTGGCAGCTCTGATTGTAGCTCCCTTGACAAGTGCAAATTGGGCATGTGGCACCCCTGTCAGCTTCTGTATCTCACAGTGTAGCTCCAGACTATTTTTGCTGATGTTGCCAGTAAGATTCAGTGGAAGGAGCCTAGAATTGAGTTAGGAAAACCTGTATTCTAGTTCTTATTCCAATACCATTTCTATTTACTCAAGCAAACCACACAGCCTTGGAAATCTCAATTTCCTTAACAGAATTAGAAGAGTGTTGGACTGGGTTCAAAATTTTTAAACCTCTGTTTCAGGGAAGCCTAGGGTTCCGAAAAGGTAATATTGAAAATTCTATAGATATTTGATTTGAATTTCACTTAAAATTAAAAAAAATTTGTGTTAATTATTTCTATATATCTTGGATTAAAGCTATTCTTGGTATCTTTATCTAATTCAAGAGTGTCTGGGATTGTAAGGAAAGTGGTGTTATCTTCCTCCCCCAAATTGTTTACTTTTTATAACTGCTTATCTTTCTGAATGAGGACTGAGGAAGGATTCTCTTGGTGCTGGGCAAACAAACAAAATTGAAAGTTACTGGGTATGGTTGTGTATCTTACTGCATCTGGTATCCACAACCCTAGATTTCAAATGCTTGTGTTCATTTTGAAGTTCAAATTTTTTTTTTTTTTACTAATTAAGTAATTCTTTTATATCATGAATTTAACTTTAGTCATGGTATAACATTCTACGCTGGGGGGTGCGTGTGTGTATTTTTCAAGTATTAAAAAATGAGATGGCCATCTAATTTTTAATTTTTAATTGTTTCTTCTTATGAAGATACCATCTATCTCGTCCTCATTTGAACTGTTTCCCATCAAAATCCTTATCTGGCTAGGATTTGAATTTATGTTTCCATCTTAAACATTGTTTATGCATGAACTGTTGTAATTCTTTAGTGAGATATCAACTTATGCTTTATTTTTATATTTCCTAGGCATATTGTATTTTAGCAGGATCATTAGTATCTGAAGGAGGTATGTACTGTCACAGAATCTTTTTATTCTTAACTTAGTAATATATATTCAGCAGTCTATTTTTATAGATTGCTAAGTTCTCTTGATTAAAGAAAGCTGTGGAAATAGGAATATACGTTTTATCTTCTTTGAGGGAAGAAATTCTTCGTATAATGTACTATGGTTGTTCCTGTAAGATAGGGCAAGTTTGGAGAAGCTTTTTATTTTGTTCTTGAGTATCATATCATTTGAAATGAAGTATAAAAACATAACTAACTATATACTGAGGTTTTTTCTTTTTTTGGAAAGTAAAAAACATTTTTATATTTTTATACAGCAGGTTCTTATTAGTTATCTATTTTATACATATTAGTCTATATATGTCAATCCCAATCTCCCAATTCATCACACCACCACCCCACCCCCTGCTTCCCCAGTTTGGTGTCCATACATTTGTTCGCTACATCTGTCTCTCTATTTCTGCCTTGCAAACCTGTTCATCTGTACCATTTTTCTAGATTCCAATGTATGCGTTAATAAACGATATTTTTCTCTTTCTGACTTAACTTCACTCTGTATGACAGTCTCTAGGTCCATGGAGCATAAAAACATAACTAACTATATACTGAGTTTTTAAAAATCCGGTTTTAGTAACGTTTATCAGGGAGGACTGTCTTTTTGCAGTACAAATATGTTAATGTTTCTGAAAGTTTCAGCCACAGCAGTATTATGACAGAGAAGTGCTAATATCATGTATGAAACTGCCTGATTCACTGCTGTACTCACAGTATGCTTACTTCTAAAACATTGTCATTTTCTGTGCATCATCCTTTCATCTTTGGCAGTCTTATAAAATGGTGATAGCACCACCTGCCTCAAAAGGTTGGGAGGATCAAAGTGATTTTGCTTAGTGTGGTGCCTGCCAGCTAGTAGCTGTCTAGTAAATTAAGGCTGTTGTGGTGGTAATGATATTTAAATTATTGTGGTTTAGAAATATGGGATTCATTATATCATAATGATTAATTGGGGTCTTGATAACGACTGGTTTAATATAGAACTTTTCCTTATTGACAGCCCTTAGCATTAAAGTGTTGTGCCTATTTATTTATCTTTTGAGATACCATCTTTAAAGTTTGGAGGCATGAAGTTTCTTCCTTGCTGATATGAATGCTTTTCTTTCAGCAACACTTCTTGTTGCTGTAAATGAGCTTCGTAGGAGTGCTCGGGCCAAAGGAATGTCACTTTACAAGTATGGTATGTATTTTAGAAACCTAGGTGTATTATTTCATCTTCTTTGTTTCCTTAAAATTGCCTAGTGCTATTATTGCTTTGTTCCATATAGATGTGTACAAAATATATCTCAGTGTCTTCCCTATGTGGCTCTTACTTATATATCAGCTCTTTTAAAAAGAGAAATGTAGTGTAATTTGAACAGCAGTACTTTATATTTGGATTTAACTTATGTGAACTACAATATTTCTGTGTATGCTTATATAACTTGAGAAAGTAATTTGACTTTAAATATCTGTTATTGTTAACATTTAAACCAAGAAATTATATTTATATTGAACAGGGTTTTAAAAATCAGGATCTCATACATTTTTTAATCTTAATTTTTTTTTTTCTTGGCTGCACTGCACGGCTTGAGGCATCTCAGTTCCCTGACCAGGGATTGAACCCTAGTCACAGCAGTGAAAGCCTGTAATCCTAACCACTAGGGCACTAGGGAACTCCTTCTTAATCTTAATTTAATTAAATTAATGGATACTTATTAAAATGTTATCTGATAGTATCAAATTAAGATTTCAAAAGTTTCTTTTCTTGTCTCCACCCCAATGATTAAGTAATGGAAAGTCGTGATCCTAGTACAAATGTTATATTATTGGAGGATACTGCAGCAGTGTTGGGAGTGACAATAGCAGCCACTTGTATGGGCCTTACTTCTATAACAGGTAAATATTTCTCAAATTACAGGTGCTTTATTTGTGCTACTAAAATAATTCTCTAATATGTGGGAATTTTCCTTCATATCATTGAATAATTTTAAACCAATAGATTGTTAAATGTGAATTTCATACTAACCATTTGTTTGTATAAGACAAATAAGATGGTAAAAGTGTTCAGATTTTTGAATTAGAAATTTCTCTTAGTTAGAAATAAAGAAGGCTGCTAATAGAGCATTTCTGTAATGCTCGAAGCCTTTCTAGCTGTGACTTAATAAGTTACACAACTACACAGAGCTTTAAGTTCTTTATCTATAAAGATATTAATAGTATTTGTCCTAGTGACCTTACAGGTTTAAGATAATATATGAGAGAGAACTTTAATAAACTCTGAAGTTCAAAATAAATATACATTGTAGCTCTTGTCCGTTTGTCTTTTTCTACTATTAGTACCAATAATAACTGCTGTTGCTTTCCTGTTTCCTTGATTCTTTACTTGCTTCCATCCTCATTTTGGTAGCTAGATAAATGTTTTGAAGGCCAGTACAGCACAGGCGGATAAGAAGACAAAAACCATTTTATTTTTATTTTCTAAAACAAAGGAACCATTTAGTATGAAAAGACTCAATTTCTGAGGTTGGAATTCTCTTGAAATGGTACTACCATTCTTACCTGTTTGTCCTAGCGTATTTTAAATAATTTTAGGTGATGAGCTTCCACAGTTCTGCAGTGTTTCTTAAAATAGCCTGAAATATGAATAGGTCTTTCTCATTTTGAATGTATATTTTAAGAGTAAACCAGCATTCTCTGATGTTCACTGTGATCCAAAATATTTCTAATTGTTTTGATCGTTTTTCTGGTTGACCTTACCATTTTAGACATTTTTTTAGACCTAAATTATTACTTAGCAAAATTTTAGGCTTAAGGAAAGTGTGACTTGATAGGTAAGTTGACTTTTAATAGATTTTTTTTTTACATAGTATTATAAACCAGTCAAATCAAACTTATAAAATGTTTTGTTTCAAGAAAGTTTCACATTAATTTTTATTTAATTATTTAAATTGTCATTTAAATTAAATAACATGCCAAGAAATAAAATATTTTCCAGCTAATAATTCTGTGATTTCTGTAGGATTATTAATAGATGTATATTTTAAAATGAAAATAATTAATTAAATTTGGATTTCTAAAGAGCAGTATTTGATTTTGAACTCTATAATTACAAACTTGCTAGTGGATTATGTTTTACAAATGGATGTATTTTTACACTTTAGTAATACAAAATAAGTCATTCAGTTTTTAGTGTTATATTTTGACTAAATGTTAATAAAACTAATGTAAATTGAGATTTTTTTAGTAAAACAAAAAATGCTTTTATCAAGCATTAAGAGAGTTAAATTTAATATTGACATTTGATCTTTGGAATAAAAAGACTTTTCATTATAAAAGCCTTGTGTGTAAAATTTATTATAAAGATTTAAAGTATAATATTTATTTATGTGTGTTATATAAATATTAACCTATGCATTCATAGATAATAAATCAACTCTTCTCATTGGTTCTGGAAGAGAATAAAGCCCTAATAACCTAAGGCAAACTTTAGAATCAGAATCATCTGGCAGGATTGGGAAGGCACATAATGCTAGACCCACACCCACCCCACCCCGAGCCCCAGATTTCTGATGTAGAAGGTCTTGAGCAAGGCCTGAGAATTTGCATTACTACCGTGTTCTTGAGTGATGCTGACGCTGCTGGTCAAAGGACTGCACTTTGAGAACCACTGCTCTGAGGTAGCCATTAGAGGCAAGGAATTAACTTCCTTTTTTTTTTTTAAATCTAGAATGGTGCTAGCTATGTATCATTCTTGGTTGAATGAGATAAGAGTGCCTCATATAATTTTTTGTATGGCTTAGTTCTTTCACAGAATCTTGGTAAGAATAAGACACAAAAATGGTTATTTCTTTTAGCTTTTGATTTTACAATTATTTTGTCAACTTGGGATAGGAAAAGTGCTACTGATATATCAAAAAGAAATGGACTCTTCATTGTATTATTGGTATGTCTCTAATTTGAAAATGCTCTGAACCCTCACGCATGTGACCAGGTGCAAGAAACAGATCATAAGTAATTCACCTGCATAGAATAGTAAAACTATTAGGAGAAAGTCACTAAAGGAATTAGAAATGAATTTCCGGTCCCTTGATTTACTAATTCTGGTTCTTTGCTCACTAAAGCTCATTGAAATAATAGAAAATGTTAATTTACTGACTTCTTTTGTGCTTTTATTTAGGCAATCCACTGTATGACAGCCTAGGTTCTTTGGGTGTGGGCACCTTATTAGGTGTGGTCTCAGCATTCCTCATCTACACTAACACAGAAGCACTCTTAGGGCGATCCATCCAGCCAGAACAAGTACAACGGCTTACTGAACTCCTGGAGAACGACCCATCAGTAAGGTCAGCTTATTCCAGTGATGCTGTTAAGGTTTACAAAAACGTATTAAGAAATAGAAATGCTTGTTTTGTAAATACTTCCAGAAGAGGTTTTGAATTCCTAGCCTTTAGAACTTTTTTTTTTTTTTTGCGGTACGCGGGCCTCTCACTGTTGTGGCCTCTCCCGTTGCAGAGCACAGGCTCCGGACGCTCAGGCTTAGCGGCCATGGCTCACGGGCCTAGCCGCTCCACGGCATGTGGGATCTTCCCAGACCGGGACACGAACCCGTGTTCCCTGCATCGGCAGGCGGCCTCTCAACCACTGCGCCACCAGGGAAGCCCTAGAACTTTTTAATCTTATTACTTTGCAGCATTGCAACCTTACAAGAAAGCAAGTGAAAGCATGTCGGACACTCCCTAAGTTTCCTTTTAAATTCTGTATATCTTTAATTTTTAGAATAAGGAACAGTTAGATGATGTAATGGGAACAGAAGTTTGCCTCTTTAATGTGGAACCACTTGTATGAAACCTTCATATTTGTATTTGCCTTATATTTGTATTATAATTACAAATTGAATATATTAAACTTAAGATTTTTATTCATGGGGATATGATTACCAAGTTGAATATAATTTATACTTTTTTTGAAAATAGACTTCTTGTTTTAGATTATATTAAATGTTTTTTCCATATAATCTTTATCTTTAAATGATATACAAATAAAGAATTGAAGAGTTAGGAGGTAATCAGAAGAGATGCAAAGTTCTATTCTAATAGGACTTTTTAGTGAACTTCCGCAGCAGTGTAGTTTCAGAATGAAGGGGAAGGAACAGTCCTTTAAAATCCTGCTTTTGGGTACTTCCCTGGCAGTCCAGTGGTTAAGACTTCACCCTGGTTGGGGAGCTAAGATCCCACATGCCTCGTAGCCAAAAAACCAAAACATAAAACAGAGCAGTATTGTAACAAATTCAATGAAGACTTTAAAAATGGTCCACATCCAAAAAAATCCTGATTTTTCTACTACTTACCTACATATGCATATATAAACTTTAAAATAAGAATGTATTTTTCTTAATTAAAAGCTTTAAGTTAAATCTTTTAAGAATGACCTCTAGGACTTCCCTGGTGGCACAGTGGTTAAGAATCCACCTGCCAATGCAGGGGACAGGGGTTCGAGCCCTGGTCCAGGAAGATCCCACATGCCGCAGAGCAGCTAAGCCCGTGAGCCACAACTACTGAGCCCATGTGCCACAACTACTGAAGCCCATGCGCCTAGAGCCCGTGCTCTGCAACAAGAGAAGCCACTGCAATGGGAAGCACACGCACTGCAACGAAGAGTAGCCCCTGCTCACCACAACTAGAGAAAGTCCGTGTGCAGCAAGGAAGACACAACACAGCCAAAAATAAATAAATAAATAAATTAAAAAAAAACAAAAACGAATGACCTCTATATCTTCATCAGTAGAACAAATGAGTATGTGAGTAGTAGATTTATATTCTAAGCTCTATATGTTTACTCTTAAGAAGTAATTACCTACTGGATCAAGATTTGAAATTGAGCATTCTTAGAATCAGTATTAGGCTTAGTAACTTAATGTGAGATACTCCATATTAATATCCTTCCCTTGTGATGTCTTTGTCTGATTTTGTTATCAAGGTAATACTGACCTTATAGAATGAATTGGGAAATGTTTCCTCCTCTTCTGTTTTTTTAGAAGAGTTTATAAACAATTGTTATTATTTCTTCTTTAAATGTTTGGTAGAATTCAGCAGTGATGCCATCTGGACATGGGCTTTTCTGCATGGTTAGTTTTTTGATTACTCATTCTATCTCTTGTTATTAGTTTATTCAGATTATTTCTTCTTGTGTCAGTTTCAGTAGTTTGTGTCTTTCTAGAAATTTGTCCATTACTTCTAAGTTATCTAATTTGTTGGTGTACAGCTGTTCCTAGTATTCCTTTGTAATCCTTTTTATTCCTTTAGGTTTGGTACTAATGTCTCCTCTTTCATTTCTGATTCTGGTAATTTGAGTGTTCTTTCTTTTTTCTCTTGGTCAGTCCAGCTAAAGATTTGTCAGTTTTCTTGGTCTTTTCAGAGAACTAGCTTTTGGTTTAATTGATTTTCTTTGTTTTTCTCTTCTCTGTTTCGTGAGTTCCTGCTCTAATCTGTATTATTTCCTTCCTTCTGCTTGCTTTAGGTTTAGTTTGCTCTTTTTCCAGTGTCTTAAGATGGTAGGTTAAGTTTTTTATTTGATATCCATCTTCTTTTTTAATATAGGCTTTTACATTTATAAACATCCTTCTAAGCCCTGCTTTCACTGCATCCTATAAATTTTAGTGTGTTGTGCCTTCATTTTCATTCACTTCAAAATATTTTCTAATTTCACTTTAGATTTCTTCTTTGGCCATTGGTTAATCAGGGATGTGTTGTTTAATTCCACATATTTGTGAGTTTCTCAAATGTCTTTGTTACTTCTTACTTCATTCCATTGTGGTTGCCGAACATTCTTTTTATTATTTCTGTCATTTTAAATTTACTGTGGTTTGTTTTATGGCCTAGCATATGCTCTATCTTGGATAATGTTCCATGTGTACTTGAGAATAACGTATATTCTTCTGTTGTATGGAGCATTGTGTCTGTTAGATTTTATAGTGCTCACGTTTTCTAGTTCCCTGTTGATTTTCTTGCCTAGTTGTTCTATCCATTATTGAAAGTAGGATGTTAAAGTCTCCTGCTGTTATTGTTGAATTGCCTATTTCTCCTTTCATTCTATCAGTTTTTGCTTCATGTATTTTGGTACCCATTTGCTAGGTATATGTGTGTTTATAATTTTGCATATATTGTTTATAATTAAAGTCTAAAAAAAGAACTGTAAATGGAAAGACTCACTGACAAATTTGAAATTTTCTGGAATAGTGATGATCTGTAGATTAAATTGTTGGAAAAAATAAATGTTAGTATTCTAGGAAGTTCATACAGTTTTTTAAGCAATGTATTAGTTATCTATATTGCTCTGTGACAAATTACCCCAAAACTTTGTGATTTAAAACAACATTTATTACCTCACAGCCTCTGTGGGTCAGGAATCTGGGCACGGTTTACCTAGGTCTCTACCTTAGGGTTTCTCATAGACTGCAGTCAAGGTGTTGGCTGGGACTGTAGTCATCTCCTGGGGAAGGATCAGCTTCTAAGCTTTCTCATGTAGTTATCAACAGGATTTAGTTCCTTGCCATGTGGGACTGTCCAGCATGGTAGCTTGCTTAATCAAAGTATGCAGATTGAGAAGACAATAGATATTGAGTGTGAACACGATAAAAGTCACAGGTTCATCATCTAATCTTGGAAATGATATATCATCATTTTGCCGTGTTCTGTTGGTTAGGAGCAAATCGCTAAGTCTAGCCCACAGTTGAAGGAGAGAGGGTTGCACAAGGGCCTGAACACAGGAGGGGGTGGGGGTGGGGGTCATTGGGAACCATGATAGAAGCTGCCTATCACAGTTTTCTGTCTGCAGTTAGTTATGTGTAAGAACATAGGGAAGAAGTATATCAGAACATTTTTATTAACTGCTAAATAAGTATTAGTCTAATCATGAGTATTTTAAATCTTTTAAGACTGACTTAGATATGCTATTTTTAAATGAATAAATTATATAACCTCTTACCAATCTGGACAAGTTCTGTTTCAGTCTGGGCATACATAACTTTATAAATATAAAATCATTAATTCTTATTTTCATCTATACTTCTTTATTCACATAGATAAAGAATTTTAGACTCAGTATTTAGTAACTTGCTTAAGATCTCTCAGAAATTAGAGTCAGATGTTTTAAGAGTACTTGGATTCTCACTTAGGCTTGTTTTCCCAGTAGGATATCTCTATGTCCTCAGAATTCAGAGTGTTTATAATTTTCTTATGTATCCTCTAAAGAAAAGATATTATAATGATTACTCTAGAAAGAAAGGAATTTCTCAGTAGTTTTCTGGAGAAAATTGATTCCTGAGGATTAGGGCAGGAGGTATGGAAAAGCAATTATGCTTGAACGTCTGCTTCCTTTTCTGGAAGGCAAAATGGTATAATGGAAAGACCACTAGGCTTGGGTATCTAAAGATCTGGGGGTGAGTCCTGGCTCTCCTGTTGCCTAGATGAGTTACCTTAGGCAGGTCACTTATGCCCCTCTGGGATTGTCTTATCTGTAAAGTAAAGATGCCATCTTAATCTACTTCATGAATGTCATTGATTAAATGCCTGCTGTGTAATTGGTAGCATATTAAACATTTTATATATGTTGGTTCATCATTCCCCACATCAGTCCCATTAGGTAGTTATTATTAACCTCATGCTAATGGAGTACTTCACAGAGTTGTATGAAGACTTTTAAAGAAGCTATTGAAAAAAGGAAAAAAGGATTATAAGATAAAATGACAACATTGTAGAAAAGCAATTTTTTTTGTTTTTTAGAAAAGCAATTTAGAGTTGATTTTTTAATCCACAAACTATGTAGTTCATATATATACAAATTACCATAAAATAGTATTTATTGTTTACACCTTCGTATGGCATTATGCAAAAAGAGCTAAATGAACATTTGTTTGGAAAATGATAGGTGGTGCTTAATGGCGAACACTCTGAAAGCCATCTTAGTCCATTTTTCATCACTGGTAGTAAAAAACAAGAATTCTAGACTTTTTGCCATTAAAATGTATGTCTGTGTAAATAAATTTGTATGTATTTTTATTGGTTGCAGGGCAATTCATGACGTTAAAGCCACAGATCTAGGATTAGGGAAAGTAAGATTTAAGGCAGAAGTAGATTTCGATGGACGAGTTGTTACGAGATCATATTTGGAAAAACAAGATTTTGACCAAATGCTACAAGTAAGTTAAAGTATTTATTGATTTCTTCTTATATAGCCAAGGGTTATAAAAATTACTTCCTAAGTAAATAAAACTTTTTCTTTTATAAGTCTTAAAAGTCACTTCAGGTTTCAACTGGTTCAGACAGTAGAAGAGGTAACTTATTATTAAAGTGCTTGTTGTGTGCCAGGCGTTTTATATATGTTACTTTATTTACTGTCAACAACCTGTGAGGTAAAGAAATAATATTTTCATTTTTATATATAGGCCAATTCAGGCAGAGAAAGATTAAGTAACTTGCCTAAAATTGCAGAGCCATCATATGGAATCAGATGTGAATTCAGATCTCTGACTCCAGAATCCATGCTTTTTTTATTAAGAGTACTTTAAAAGAAAATTTATACAGGATAATATAATGAACAGAGCAGAGGCTACCGCTTGCCTTTGTCGAATATTAACATTTTACTGTACTGTACTTGCTTGAGATCTTAAAAAAAGAAAGAAATCATTACAAAAATATTACAGCCCTTGTTTCTCCTTATAGATCCCATTCTCTTTTCTCCATCCCCAGAACTCACAATTATCTTGAATTTAGTACCTGTCATTTCCTTTCAGTTTTTTATACTTTTCAACATTTTTCTTAGCGTAATATGTAACACTTTAGATGTTTAAAAATTGGTATAAATTGTATCATATCATATGGTTTCCTCTATAAGTTGCTAAACAGCATGTTTTTGAGGTTCCTCCTCCGTGTTAATATATATACCTCTAATTAATTTACTTGCTATTTAATAGTCCATCTTACTAAAATGCTGCAGTTTGCTTATCCAGTCCCTACTTCACGGACAATTATATTGTTTCAAGTATTAAACTATTGGAAACAGTGCCACAGTGGCATTCTTATAGATGTTTCCTTGTTTGCATGTGCAAGAATTTCTTTAGGGCATTACATAGCTAGATTTAAAGTATAGGTGGGCCATTGGATGAACATATCTTCAGCTTCCTTAGATATTGGCAAATTGTTCTCCAAAGTGTGTCAATTTAACTCCCACCATCAATGTATCAAAGTTTCTGTTGCTTCACATTTTTGCTAGATTGTATTGACAGAGTTTTGAAATTTTTATCATTATGATGGATATGAAATAGTATCCTGTTGATTTAATTTATATTTCCCTGGTAGTAGTGAGGTTAATAAACATAGAAATTTATTGACCATTGGGATTTCCTGTACTTGCTTTGTTCGTTTAATTTCTGTTATTCTGACAGATTTATAAATGTTTTATTTTTAATATGCTAGATACTAATCCTTCCTCAGTTGTATATATGCAGATAACTTTCTAGTTTATAATTTATCGTTCCACTTTGTTGTTGTACAGAAGACTTAATGTAGTTTTTAATTTTATGTCAAATTTGTAATCTTTTTCTCTATGCTTTTTATTATCTTTCTTGAGGAACCCTTACTTCTGTATCCCATTATCATAAAAATATTCTGGTTTTCTTCTAAAAATTTTAAGGTTTGTTTTTTACCCTTAGGTTTTCAATCCACTTAGAATTACTTGTTTAATGGTCTGAGGTAGGGATTTAGTATTTTTTTCCTCTAAAAAAATAACTTCCCCAGCACTATTTATTGATTGTCTATCCTTTTCCCACTGATTTTGCAGTGCTACGGTCTGTAGACCGTTGTACTCAATTTTTTCTCAAATTGAGTTTTCTTTTTTGAAATATATGGTCCATTGCCTATGGCTTGAAAGTTTTTCATTTTTCATTAAACTTAACGGTGTTGGTTATAATTTTTAAAAGAAATTATCAGTGTACCACTATGACTTTCTTAAGAATCTGTTTCATTTTTCTGCTATCGTTTTCTTTATAGGAAATTCAAGAAGTGAAGACTCCTGAAGAACTAGAGACCTTTATGCTTAAACATGGAGAAAATATTATTGATACTTTAGGAGCTGAAGTAGATAGGCTTGAGAAGGAACTGAAAGTAAGATATATTCATAATAATATAATACAGTGTCAGCTACTTTTTGAGTACTTATCTATGTCAGGCACTATGCTAATTGCATCAGTTATATGCTTTTATTTTCTCAGTAACCCCATGATGTATCAGTAGTTATGGGCGAGAAAATGATTGGGTTAGAGGAGTTGGATAATATATTCAGGGTCGTATAGGACTTGCGATTTGAACCTTTGCTGTTCAATTTCAAATTCCATACTTTTAACCACTATTCTATACTGCTTGCTTAGTTTCTAAAATAATCGTTTTTTATCTTTTTTGTCTGTCTTTAAATAAGAAGCGTTTCTAACATTTCTAGAGAAAGGTAAAAGGGAAACTTTAGACTCTGTTCTAAAGTTAAAAAAGAGTGTGACCTTAAACATATACATACATACTGCTTTAGCCTGTCTGACATTATTTTATATTTTCTGTTTGTTTCTGTTCAGTTGGAGGTCATTACAACCTGTTGGCTTTTTACTGAAATATTACCTAACCAGACTGCCTTTAAAAAAGTGTCAGTGCTCTCAAATTGTCATTTATTGACATTTGAATTCTAATTGTTTGCAATGAAGGAAACTTGTAAATGATCTTTAACGGTTTATAACTTGTTGAAGGCAATGTATTTTCTTTAGCTGATGTTGATTTTTGTTTAGTTTTGTTAAAAATTGAAGAGAAACAAAGACAAAAATTGAAGGGAAACATTTCTATCACTATTTTACTATCTTTTAGAATCTAGATATGTGATCAGATTAATAGAAGCACTTCAAAAGGGATGATTTTGTTAATGTTAATATTATAGTTCATGAGCTTATCAGGCATGATTTTCAGAATTTCTAGATGAACAATTCTCAAATATTTTGATACTAGGATTCTTAAAAATTATTGAGGACTCAGAGTTTTTTTTTAGTTATATTTATTTATATTTACCAAATTATTAATTAAAATTGAGAAATTTAAAAATATTCATTTAGAAAACATAATAAACGTATTTCATGTTAGTATAAATAACAGTTTGAAGGAAAGTAACTATAGTTTCCAAAATGAAATAAATAGAAGAGTGGTATTTTACATTTTTACAAAAATCTAAGACAGCTAGATTCCCATTTGTGCTTCTGCATTCAGTCTATTACCATACGTTATTTTGGTTGAAGAATATGAAGAAAAAGGAGGAGCCTTTTTAAGTATTCTTATAGTTTTTCCAGATACTTGGTATTCTCTTTTAATATTACACCAAAACCTGACAACCGGTAACCTCTTAAAGCATAGTTGTGCTGTGAAATCTGAAACCATATCAATGAACTTTTCATATATTGTTTGTGAAGTTAGGGGGCACAGTCCAGAAGACCACCTTCATTTCTAACACCAGTTGCAAAGTTCAGGTGGTTCCTAAGACCACCCTCAGGTTTGATAATTCACTAGGAGGACTCACAGAACTCACTGAATGGTTTATTCTAATGAAAGGATACAGATTAAAACTAGCCAAAGGAAGAGATGCATAGGGCAGAGTTCCAAACCTGGAGTTTCACTTGTCCTCTCCCCATGGAGTCATGGACGGTGTTATTTTCCTGACAGTGGTGTGTGACAGTTTGCATGGAGTATTGCCAACCACAGAAGCTCAGCCGAGCCTTGGTGTCCAGAAATGTTCTTGGGGCTCTGTAGTTGACTGCTTGAGTGGATGACCTTTCATCTCCAGCCCCTCTCAGGAAGAGCCGACACCTTTAGTTTCCACCCGCTTCTGGAGGTGGACAAAGATAAACAAAGACATAATTATCAGGCAGAATATTCCAAGGACCTAGGGATTACCTCCCAATAGCCAAGAGCAAAGGCCAGACCTCGCTTTGAGTATGATTAGCAGTCTCCTATACACTATTATATTAAAATCTGTTGGTCTGTCTTTATACTCTGATTGAATCTTTTTTTTTTTAACATCTTTATTGTCTGATTGAACCTTTTTAACCCATGCTTGATTCTTTAACATTATGAATTGGTCATTTGGAAAATACTGGCTCACTGAATTTATGCACATCATGCAAATGTTGATACATTTCTAAGTAGTGGGAAGCTGTCAGGCTCATGGTGGTGGATATGAGTTTTTCAACATTCTAATTTTGACTTGAAAGCTTGCATTTTATTATTAGCAACAAATACTGTTGTTTTCCTTGAAGTAGTAGACTCATTTTGTTTATTTCTTAAGAAGATGCCTGCCAAATACCCAAATTTGAATAACCATAGTTTGTTATTCTTTCAAGTAAAAAGGGTGTTGAGATAAAAACCGTCTGATTGAGCTCATTCAGGCAATCACAGGATGCTTTTCCTTGTGACAACATCAGACTTCAGCATGAAGCACAACTTCCCATTTTGTCACCGAATATTTTTTTAAAGTGTATTCAGTGGTTGAAGTTTAATAAATCAATAGTTTTTACTACTTCATGAAGGACATTTTAAAGTGAAACTGGCTTTTTTTAAAAAAAACAACTGGGTGGCAATAAAGGAGCACAATGACTACCAGTATGATTTGGTGCAGGTTGCCTTGAGTTGTGTGAAGGTGCCAGCAGTTTTATCCATGCTGTCAGAGGAAATGTCAGCATAGTAAAAAAGGCAAAAAATATCTTACTGTAATTATGAAAATAGTTTTGACCTCGGAGTCCCCCCTGAAAATGTCTCAGTAACCCAGTAATCCTTGAACCACGCTTTGAATACCATTGTTCTGAATAAAATGTGAGATGATCATTTTTTTGCAAGGTGATTGGAGATTGAATAAATGTTGCATTTCCATTCTATCTGTTTTTATTTCCCTGGCAAGGAAAATAATGGACTTTTAAAACTAACTATTTTGGCTTTACTCTTTAATAGAAACAGTGTCAGAAGCCAATTTAAGAATAATTAACAAGTTGGCCATTCTTAATTGTATTTACTCTTATCACAATCAGATATGCGTATTATTATTCTTTAAGCTAAGTTTGTGCTTTAACTAGAAGCTATTAAATCATTAATAGACTGAATTATCTCATGTTTTTGAATTATATAAGTCTTTCAAACCAAGAAGCCATATTTTGCCTACACTTTTAGGTGGAAACATCCCTAAGGTGGTAATAAGGTAAATTAATATCAAGTGAAAAGAAAGTTCTTCATAGTTAAGGTACCAGACCAAGAGAATGCATGAAAATAAGCTGATTTTCTTTTGAAAACAAAAACTTTGTACATTGGTATTTTCGCTCCTTTTTAGTATCTAAGCATAGTTGCCTTCTAAGTTTAAATTTTAATAATTATTGAATTACTTTGGAAGGTCACACTCAGTGATAAAATTCTGCAGGATTATAGCCATCTCTTTGAGTAAATGCCATTGATCTAAGTATTAGAACAGGCGATATTTTTGGCTTGAAGTCTGTAACTTATAGTGCTATGTTACAAATAATAGAGGCTAATTTATAAAGTCCCATATTATAATGTGAAATACATCTTGTTCTTATTTTGAAATTGTTTGAATTGTTAACGTAGATTTTTGTTGTTGTTCTACCTCTGTATTCAATCAGTAGATAGACCCTTGTCCTATATCTCCATGAAGTTTTTTTGTTTGGGGGGAAATAATTCTATCGGAAATTAATTCAGTGGGAAGATGCCATAGCAAATTTCTAATAAATTCCAGTTAAATGCTCTGCCCTTTACTGTGTCTTTTGCATCTCTAATTACATCCTCCTGTAGTATTTTCTTTACTTGAGTCTACAGCACTGTAAAATAAATTATGTAATTTGGTTTTTATCTCTGTGTAATATGAGTGTTGGAAAAAAATCTGTGATGTGTAAAATATTCCAATTCGCATTGAACGGTGCCTCGGACATAATAGACCAATAAGTATTTGATGAAAAAATGAATGAAAATTATAAGTTGGACACCAATTATTGATTTTCAGTTCTATTTAACAACTATATATTCATGAATATATGAATATATTAATTTCTGCTATGCACATATCTTGTTACACACTAAACATTAAATTTTAAGGATATTAATTCTTTTCTCATTCATTCAGCAAACACATTGTGTGTGTCTGCTTTGTAATGGACACGTACATTTTAGGAATTTGGTTAATTTTCTCTCTGAAAACTTGATTTTAAAAAGCAGAGTAAATTAACTTTTTAGTTTCTTTTTCTTAAGATCAGATTTTTGTTAGTACACATTTGTTATATAGTGCTTTTTAGATTGAATAATTTTAAACTTTCCATGAACAGCTAAAATTTTTCAAGTCATATTGGGATGAGTAAGGGTTGATTGGAATGGGAAAACAAAATTCAATTTCATTTCTGTTTGAGGAAGTCTTTTTTATTCCATATTGAATTTAAGAAATTCTAGACAGAGGGAATAGTTTAAGATAAAGAAAACACTGAGAACAAAAGTATCCTCTGCCACCCCCTTGTGGGGTCCCTGGTCACTCTTACCTTAGGACCCAAGAGGAAAGCACCCCTAGGTACAGTTGACCAGCACTAGTTGTAAGAAAAATCCCAGTGCACACTAAACAGAAAGAGTGCTGGAGCTGGAGCTACACTCCAGTATTATACCAGGTTTTTGTCTTTATAATTAAATTTGTTTAATATCAATAATATGCAAATGTTCCTGGGATATTATTTTTTAAGCTAGGAGTTATTAATCCTGACTGATTATTAGAATCCCTTAGAAGAGCTTTTTTCCCCTTGTTGATTTATTTATATGGTTTTTATCAAATAATACACACAGTTTACAAAATCAGACAGAACTGAAAAGCTTATACAAAAGTGTCACCTGCCTCGCCTTCCTCCGTCGTTAGTTCTACATTTTAGAGAGAACCATTTTTAATACTTTTAGTATTTCTTTTATATTTACTGCCGTATTTCTAGATAAGAATCTGACATTGCTCCTCCTAACTTAAACATTTCCTCTTAGGTAGATATAGGTTTAGTTATTTTATAAGTCTCTTCTGTCCCACAGTCTCACAATATCATTATATTCACTTTATTAAACTTTTAATTCCCCCCCCCCACATTGTGTTAGATGTCCTTCCTTTATGTATCCATAGAGGAAAAATCCCCTCAAATCTTTACTTTGCTCTGTAGTAGCAGACTCTTACAATCGCCTGCTTACTTACCTGTATTTCCTCACTAGAGATAAGTTCATTCAAGGCAAGTGCTATTTATTTCCCGTTCATTGTTGTATACTTCAGTGCTTGGTACAGTGTAGGCATATAATAAAGATATTTTTAGGGACTTCCCTGGTGGTCCATTGGCTAAGACTCTGCGCTCCCAATGCAGGGGGCCCAGGTTCGATCCCTGGTCAGGGAACTAGATCCCACATGTTGCAACTAAAGATCCCACACGTGGCAACAAAGATCCCACGTGCTGCAACTAAGACCTGGAGCAGCCAAATAAATAAATATTTTTTTAAAAAGATGTTTTTCATCGTTAATGAAATTCCTTAAGGTTTTTCACAATCTGGCTTCTGCCTGTCTTCCCAACCTCATTGCTTTTTGCAGCTGCTGTTCTAACTATACCATACTGCTAGTGCATACTTTCCAGGCTCTCTTGACTTTGCTCATGCTATTTCTTTCGTCTAGTCCCTTTTCATCATCTGTCTGGAAAATTCACCGTATTCAAACCTTGTTTGGATACTATATCCTCTGTGAATTCTTTCTGGATCTCATGAGCAAAAGTAATCTCATGTTTTTGTTTCCAGAGTTATTATTTAGTACATTAAAATAGTTAGGAGCCTTGGGGTCTGGAGTCAGGCCTGGAATCTATCCTGGCTCCATCACTTACTAGCTGTGTGACTTTGGACAGGTTAGTTAATTTCTTTAACCTTCATTTTTCCCATATGTAAAATGGAAATAATTGGGTTATTATGAGGATTTTAAAACACACACTTCCCGTGAACCCCCTTACTTATTATTAGCATAGTACTTGACACAAGAGTAACCGCTCAATATATGTTAACTGGTTATTATTATTAGCTATAATGCTTTTTTTTTGTGGCTGTGCCAGGTCTTAGTTGCAGCAGGCAGCCTCCTTAGTTGCGGCTCATGGGTTCCTTAGTTGTGGCATGCATGTGGGATCTAGTTCCCTGGCCAGGGATCAAACCCAGGCCCCCTGCAGTGGGAGCGTGGAGTCTTAACTACTGGATCATCGGGGAAGTCCCTATTAGCTATATAATGCTTTTGCTCGTAGAGGTTATTCATACACTTTTCTCTCTGGCTAAACTGAGTCCCTCAGGGTAAGGGTAAGCTCTACTTTGTAGCACAGTGCTAGATCAAGACTATATGGATTGTTACTAGAACATATAAAATAAGTTAATATCAGTTTAGTCTTTCAATTATTATTATTGCTTTGCAGTGATTTTCACCACAAATGAGCATATTTCCAGTGCTTTGCAGTGCTTGGCACATACTAGATTCTTAATCCATTATTGTATTAATGAACATATGGACAAAACTCAGGGAGGCTGGACTACTTACTGTATATTTTATAGTGTATAACTGGTCTATTCATCTATTGATCTTACGTTTTTCCCTCTGTAAATATTTCTCTTGCTAGTATGCTACAATGAAATAGTTTGACCAAATGTTTTCATTGGCTTTAGTGACCACAAGGAATAAAAGGAAACAGAAAATTGTCTTTTGCTATTAATAACGTAGCGGTGATTTTTTTCCTTCCAGAAACGAAATCCTGAAGTTCGACATGTAGATCTGGAGATATTATAGACTTGATGGAATGAATCACCTTGGAGGGAGTCTTGGAAACAAGTTTGCCAAGACTGCTTTCCCACACTGAAGGAGTCAATGCCATTCAGAAGCCGTTTTTTTTTTAAGATGGAGGAAATATTTATGTAAAGAGCAATTCAACAGTCCACAGAACTAAAACAACTTCTTCTAAGAGACATATTACAAGTTGAATCAATTTGGAAATCGTGTTTTTATGTTTCAGCAGGAAACATTTTGGTTACTTAAATTGTTCATAATTTCTCATTTTAGCCTGTCAGTGTGTATTGTACCTTATAATCATGTTTCCTTTCTTCACATTGGTAAAAAATAAGCAGCATCTGTAAGATTATGATTTTTAATTTTATTGCCAGTGAAGATTTCACTCCATCAAAACCTGTCAATCTTGAACATTCTGGCTAAATCTTGGTTTGCGGTTTTTAAAACAGTCACTCCATTTAAAAGTCTGTCTTTCCTTATAGAATGTAGACATTATTTTAACGTACCTTGTTTTTTTGCCCTGAGCACGAAGAGGAACACTTTCCTAACCTAGTTATCCATAAACGTTCATTCCAGAAAGGGCTTTGTTACTGAATGGAAGGAAGAGATTCCAGTACACTCTTTTTAGGTCATGCTACTTGCCATTTTGTAAAATTTCTTTTCTCTTCTTTGCTTTTTTTTCCTTATTTAGTTTAAGTTTCCTAGTGATAGGCAATATAAAATAGCCCTAGATATTTCCATGGGCCAGTGTGATGACTGGTTTTTTGTTTTTGTTTTTTAACTGGCTTCAGTCCCATGTTTTTACTAGGAGATAATGCATTTATAAGCATTTTAACATGTAAAGTGGACTAGAAATATTTATAATTTCACAGACAAGACAGCATTTTATTTTTAATTTATTTTAAAAGAGGCACTACTTGTGTAAATCTGAACTGTGGGATAGTTCTTGCTTTGAGAGAGAGAGAAGTAAACCTCTTATGCGGAAACTTGTGGCCATGACTTTTGTATAATATCATAAGACAGTAGTGTGTCTGTAACATGAGTTTCTTGCAGTTACAGATGGGCATTTAGCATAATGTATGATTATAATATTATGTGATAAGTAGCTTTCTAATGATTATAAGGTATCAAGATGAAAAAACATGCAATTCAGTAATGGAAACTTTAGTGCAAAACTACAGCTGTGTCTCCATTCATCAAAAGAATTCATATGCACTTTAAATTGTTCAGGTACCAGTGAGCACTGTCCATGCAAGAGTGGTAGCTGGGTGAATAATCTGCTGGATAAGTGAGTGCTTAAGGACCTAGGTCAGTGTCTAAAAACTTACTTAGATTGAAGTTTATGAGTTATAGCAAGTTATAATGCTGGAAACAAAAAATAAACATTTGATTAAAGGGTTTGTAATAGTAATTTTTTGATTCAGAATTGTTATTTACTGGGAAATTGTGAAAATTTACATTGGTGTACACTTTTTACCACTACAAAACATTTTGTGTGCTGTACATTTTAAGTGAAATAACATTCCAGTTTTATTTTTTAAGATATGAAATTGTTTTATACATATATATGTACATACACGCACACAATTTGTTTTTTTTGTTTTTTTTGTTTTTTTTTTTGCAATACGCGGGCCTCTCACTGTTGTGGCCTCTCCCGTAGCGGAGCACAGGCTCTGGACGCGCAGGCTCCGCGGCCATGCCTCATGGGCCCAGCCGCTCCGCGGCATGTGGGATCTTCCCGGACTGGGGCACGAACCCGTGTCCCCTGCATGGCAGGCGGACTCTCAACCACTGCGCCACCAGGGAAGCCCAATTTGTCCTTATGGTTTCAAATTATTCACTCCTACTTTTTAAAAAACTTTTTTACCCATTATAATTAACTCTACTTTCTGTGTCTTCCTCCTTCCCCTTTCCCACCTGCCATTTTGTTTATTCCATGTCAGTGTGCCATGTGGGAAGGTACCAAATTATATCCAATTTCCTCCTAGTAAAATTACTCTAAAAATTTTCGCAGTTAGACAAGAATATTAACTCATTAAAAAAAACTCAAAAGCTGATGCGCAGTAGTTATTCCAAATGGTAGATTTTTTTAAAGGACTCCCTGAAAGAGGCCAATTCCTGATATTTCTTTGGGTTTTCTAACCTTATTTTGATTGAAGTCATACCTATTCTTAAATAAAAATTGAAGGCTTATGTTTCTGTCCTTTCACTGCAGTTCTGATCTGCACTGATACCTTAAAGTTTGTTTAAGTGAAATTTGACATAAAGAAGTATAGCCTATCTAGGAATTTAATGTATGACATCACTGGTCCCTTTTTTTTTTTTCCCCTTCCTTTTAAACTAGAGTCAAGTTTGAATTTTGAAACCAGGGAATTTGGTCCCCTTTCTTTAAAAATAAGATAATATCTAGTTGTTCAGGTTTCTTATTTTTGTTTTTTTTCCAAATTAATACTTCTTACTTTGTCTTACCCTTATACATAGTGTTCGAATATTTAAGCATATAAATCTTATTATTTTTAAGGAAAATAGCTTCTGTAGTAGAATAATTGCAAAAGTAATGTTGGACAGAGAAGAGGTCAGTCAAGGCCATGACTCCTGTTTGTATTAAGCTGAAATCTGGAAACCAGCAAAGGTGAAGTATATTTGTTTTCAGCTCTGGCTGTAAGTAACAGGCCCCAAACGAAGCTGGCACATTTTTTAGACCATGGCACATGGGGGATGAGGGGTGGAGATCTATTTTTAAGTGGACCATGTTGGTGGCCAGTAAGTAGTATTCAGTTCCAAAGAGGGAGATTCCTGAACATATACTGAGGAAACTGTAAGATAGAATCAGATTGGAAAATTTTCAGGTTTTTTCAAAAACAACGTTAGTATCTGCATACATCCTCCTACACACCAAATAACCCAGAACAACAAAAGGGCATTAGACTTGAATTTTGGGTATATGATTTTAGTGTTACCTTAATTATCCTGTAGTTTGGATAATGGTTTTTGCTAAAATTATATCATATAAAGGAAGCGGCTTAAGTTTTAAATGTGATAACTTTGGGGTAGAATGCTAGGAACTACAGAAAATTGCACAGGCATTTGGAATTTATACTATTTTTCTTAGACGCATTTGTCAAGCTTTGGCATTTCTTTTAAATGTGATGACCCCCAATTTGCCAAACTGTCAGAAGTCAGTGAAGCAAAGAATTGAAGATAAAATGTTGATTCAAAGATTGTCCCCCCTAAATCCCTCATCCTGGTCTCTGAAATGGAAGTTGGGAAGGCATTTATAATAGAAGATTGGTCTGGCAGCCTTTATATTTGCATTTAAGTTTACTAGCATCCCTAATCTTGGTTTTATGGAAAAGAGAAAATTTTTGTTTCTATTGCATTGTATTTCATCTGTCTGATTTCTGTGGCAGGTTAAGATTTTCCTGGTCCATCAGGGTGCATTTTTCCTTAATAAATGCTGTATGTAAATAAGAGCAGTTCACTTCTTAGTTTGGGATTTTCCCCGCTGATAAATGTTTGTTAAACACTTCTTTACCTCATGTGCTAACCTTTAAAAATCATGCCTTTGTTTTTGAACAGAATTTATTATTCCTTGAGTATGCTTGTTAGTTTGTGGGTGTCCTCATTTTACAAAACCAAGATATAAAAACTCTTAATTGTTTTATGATCCACTTTAAGTATAGAGAGAACTATTATTAATATACCATTAGGATGTCATGTAGGTTGGTAAAGTGCAAATTCAAAAAGTTATATCCCTTAGTGACACAGTATATGATTACACTTTGACAAAATAAGATTATTTAAACATGTTAGTTGGATTATTTCTTTTGGGACTGTGTCTATATAGTATATTTAGGGGAAAAAATACAAGATTAAAAACACCAAACGGTAGAACCTAGAGCCAGCCTGCGGTGGGATCCAGGTTGAATTCTATACTAATCCTGTAGGAATTGCAACTGTGTTTTCTTTTTCACAAGAAACTAAACCAAAGTAATTTGGTATTTTGAGAGGGCATATTTCCCACCCCAAAATCAAATTATTGAAAATAGAAGCACTGTAGTTTAGAATTTGTGTAGCAAAATACAGAATTGTGTCTGTGTCTTTAAGGGCTTGTAGAGGTTTTAAAATAGACTTAAAAGTAAAAAAAAAAAAAAAAAAAATTGTATATAATAGCTATCAACAGGATAATTTGAACTGTTTATGCCAGGTACCATTTTATATGTACAAGCATTCCTCAGAAATAGTGCAGGCTCGGTCCCAGACTACTGCAATAAAGCAAATATCAAAACAAAGCCAGTCACACAAATCTTTTGGTTTTCCAGCACATATAAAAGTTATGTTTAGGGCTTCCCTGGTGGCGCAGTGGTTGAGAGTCCGCCTGCCAATGCAGGGGACACGGGTTCGTGCCCCGGTCCGGGAGGATCCCACATGCCGCGGAGCGGCTGGGCCCGTGAGCCATGGCCGCTGAGCCTGCGCGTCCGGAGCCTGTGCTCCGCAACGGGAGAGGCCACAACAGTGAGAGGCCCGCGTACCGCAAAAAAAAAAAAAAAGTTATGTTTACACAGTACTGTATGTAGTCTATTAAGTGTGTAATAGCGTTATGCCTAAAAGCACAATGTACATACCTTAATTTAAAAGTACTTTATTGCTAAAAAATGCTAACCATCATCTGGGCCTTTTGAGGGGCTCTTTGCTGGTGGAGCGTCTTGTCTCCATGTTGGTGGCTGTTGAAGGCTGGGGTTGCTGTGGCAATTTCTTAGGATAATGAAGTTTACCGCATCATGTGACTTCCTGTTGCGAATGGTTTCTCTGTAGTGTGCAATGCCATTTGATAGCATTTTACCCACAGCAGAACTTTCAAAATTGGGGTCAATCCTCTCAAACCCGGCCCTGCTTTATCAACTAAGTTTACATAGTATTTTCAGTCCTCTGTTGTCATTTCAATAATCTTCACAGCATCTTCACCAGGAGTCAATTCCATCTCGAGAAACCACTTTCTCTGCTCATTCATAAGCAACTTCTCATCTGTTAAAGTTTTACCATGAGACTGCAGCAATTCAGTCACATCTTTAGGCTCCACTTTGAATTCGAGTTTTCTTGCTGTTTCCTCCACTGAAGTCTTGAATCCCTCAAAGTCATCTACGAGGGTTGGAATCAACTGCTTCCAAAGTACTGTTAATATTGATAATTTGTCTTCTTCCTGTGAGCCACTAAATTCTTTTTTTTTTCTTTTTCTTTTTGGCTGCGTTGGGTCTTTGTTGCCGCACACGGGTTTCTCTGGTAGTGGCGAGCGGGGGCTACTCTTCGTTGCGGTGCACGGGCTTCTCATTGTGGTGGCTTCTCGTTGCAGAGCATGGGCTCTAGGTGCGTGCAGGCTTCAGTAGTTGCAGCGCACAGGCTCAGTAATTGTGGCACATGGGCTTAGTTGCTCCGCGGCATGTGGGATCTTCCCGGGCCGGGGCTCAAACCCGTGTCCCCTGCACTGGCAGGCGGATTCTTAACCACTGCGCCACCAGGGAAGTCCAAACCACTCATGTTCTTAATGGTATCTAGAATGGTGAATCCTTTCCAGAAGGTTTTCAATTGACTGTACCCAGATCCATCAGAGGAATCACTGTGGCTTTATGAAATGTATTTCTTTAATAAGATTTGAAAATTGAAATTACTCCTCGATTCATGGACTGCAGAATGGATATTGTATTAGCGGCATGAAAACATTAATCTTGTGATACATCTCCATCAGAGCTCTTGGGTGACTAGGTGCATTGTCAATAAGCAGTAATATTTTGCAAGGAACCTCTTTTTTGAGCCATGGGTCTCAACAGTTGGTTTAAAATATTCAGTACATCTTGTAAACAGATATGCTGTCATCTAGGGCTTTGTTCTTCCATTTATAGAGCATAAGCAGAGTAGATTGAGCCTAACTTTTAAGGACCCTAGGACTTTGGGAATGGTAAATGGGCATTGGCTTCCACTTAAAGTCATCAGCTACATTAGCCCCTAACAAAAGAGTCAGTCTGTCCTTTGAAGTCTTTTTAAAAAAAAAAAAAAATTTATTTATTTTGGCTGCGCTGGGTCTCAGTTGCGGCATGCGGGATCTTTGTTGCGGCATGAACCTGGGCCCCCTGCATTGGGAGCGTGGAGTCTTACCCGCTGGACCACCATGGAAGTCCCTCCTTCGAAGCTTTAAAGCCAGGCACTGACTTCTCTCTAGCTATGAAAGTCCTACATGGCATCGTGCTTAATGTAGTCACCTTCATTTATTATCTGAGCTAGATCTTCTGGATAACTTGCTGCAGCTTCTACATCAGCACTTGCTGCTTCACCTTGCAGTTTATGTTGTGGAAACGGCTTCTTACCTTAAACCTCATGAACCAGCCTCTGCTAGCTTCAGACTCTTCTGCAGCTGCCTTGCCTCTCAGCCTTCACAGAACTGAAGAGAGGGCCTGGCTCTGGATTAAGCTTTGGCTTAAGGGAATGTTGTGGCTTGTTTGTCTTCTATCCAAACCACTACAACTTTGTCCATATCAGCCATGAGACCGTTTTGCTTTCTTATCA